CCTACACATTAGGTAGTAAAATATCAGTGACTTTATGAAGATAATATTCTTGTTTAATTAATTAAAGTACAACCAGATCATATATATTTAACATTTGTATAAACTAATTTGATTTATAGCATACATATGTTTTTGGTACTGAAATATTATGAATAAAAATGACGGTGTATATATATTTTCTGTTTCTAGTCTTTCGTTATGTTAGATGGTGGCAAGTCTACAATGAAAAATATAGTAGGCTATTTGTTTGATAAGAGCGTTGTATTATTTAGTTGAATTCTTGCTACTTTAGCTCATAATATTTTTTAACATTGAATTTAAATTTTAAATTAATGTCAGTCAATAGCTGGTGAAGAATAAAACTTGCTAAGAAGCTATAAAAAAGTACCTAATCTTTCTGATACATGCAAAAAATGAAAACTAGAATAAAATAAAAAAAAAACGATAAAACGTGTGGAACGAAAGAAGTTCCTAACTTTTTTTCTCAAAGCGAAATGTTAATTGAAGTAAAATCAGTTTTTTTTTTCATTTTACACATTTCTAATGCAAATTATGTAACGTAAAAATGAAAAATATTTCTTTTCATTTAATACTTCAGGAAAAATATTAATTTAAAGAAAATTACATAATAAAGAGTGAATTATCAAATAAATATTATGTACTGAATAACAGGTACAATGTAATGAATTAACAGCGTTTGAGAATAATCAAACTAAGGAATGGACGATTGATAGAAAATTAAAGTTCTTTAATATTTAAAAAACGGGTTTAGGAAGCCATATTGTCTTGTTTACAAGGTATAAAAAAGATACGCCTTAGGAATCAGGAATCACAATAAATAAAATCATAATGTGAAAGAGCAATAATTGTACTAACATTTCCGAAAAATATACCTACGGCTTTTTAAATTTTGCTACAAAGTAATAGAGGTCGTTAACTCGCAATCCATTTTACACGGGACAGGGTGGAAGCTAAATAAGCAATCGATAAGTGAAGTTTCGAGGCACCACGTCCTTGAGTATTTCACGGCCCGGGACAAGCGCGGTACATATAACACCGGCATTTTAAGTATAGACATAAAAAAGTATGTGTGTACTTATGAACGCGCGTAAAAAGTTATACTTCTTAAGCGTAACAAAGCAAAATAACTAAAATTTATCCCTGTGCCAGAATTTTTCGTTTGTGAAAAAGGTTCACGAAATGCAATTGATATCGGTTGTTTTTCTCGCAAAAAACTAAGAGACTTCAACATTAGGAGGAAAGCTATTAAGGATTAATAAGCATTGTTATGATCTTCTATAAATTACATGTACTTAGTTATAATCTACATCTAATATAAGCTTAACTGTATTCGGAAATCATTTATTTTGGAGAAAAATAGGGGTCAAGGCTTACATTATTTTCTTTTTTTTAAGTTTAGACTTTTCCTCCTCCTTCCTTCCTTTTTACTTAAATTGCAAACATTAAAGATAGCCAAAACATAATATAGTTTCGCAGAAAAGACTTTACCCTTAAACAAAAGCTGTCTCCCGAACTCTTCAATTTGATAATTTATGTTCCATACATGATACCAAAAACGCTAACTTTCAGTTGCATTTTCCCCGTCAAGTGATATGTTATCGATCATCTATACCGCCATTTTAACTTCAGAAAAAGTTAAAAATAGAATATAATAATAAAAAATATTTCCATTTGACCAAGATCGATTTAATTCATTTAAATTAGTACGCATTATAAATGTTCCCATGAATAAGAGTTATAGCGTGAACCAAAGTACTTAGATATTCCAAAATACAAGCACATTTATCCTACGTCATAATAAAATTAAGGGTCTGGAAATTTATTTTACTTTCGAGTAGCTCTTACCGTATCTATAATAACTATTTATAGCTCAAGTGACGCCTTTTGTACGTCATAACACAGGTCCAAGGATATGAAAGTATCTTTTATCATATATAAAGTGTTCGATATGGGAACAAAATGAAAACACTATTTGCTTGTTTGTAATATTTAGGTTTAATAATATATGTGTCAAATGGATGCTTCTAAATACTAGTAAATTTTAATGACAAGAGAAATGAAGACAAAGTCAAAAAACAACGAAGAAAATGTAATTAATAGGTTCGACTTAAATTGGCAACAAAAAGGTTATCTTATGAAAAACGGCTCGAACATAAAATACCTAGTATGGATAAAAATTTGTATAGCTCCGTTTTAACCGTTTAGCTTGGTGGTCTAAAACGTCTGGGCGCGAATACGGAAGACGTAGGTTCGTTTCCCGCAGCGGCCAAAAACATATCTTCCAGTTTTTCTACAAATATTAACATTGTATCGTAAGTGCTAGAGTGCTTAAGTATTTGAGAGATACCGCATACCACACGGCACTAAATAACGGTTCAAACAGAAGCCAAGTGTTGTTCGGAGTGAAACTTAATTGCTTACAGTGCCGGCTACTAAGGTTTATGAGGAGCTCTATGGTTCTTACGTACCACCCACAAAGCTAAGCGTGGATGAGTGTGCGCGTTCCTACTAGTGGTAGCCTACTGCTTAGCTTTGTACCTAGTGTAGTGGTCTGATGTGTGGGGCGTCTAAACTAGTGAGTTACCGTTCAACACATTTCTTTCTATAAGAAACAGTCCGTTGCCTGATCGTTACCTGATGGTAAATGCTGCAGGCGAAGACGATAAACACTATCTCAGTAAAAGGATATTCACTTTAAGCAGGTGTATAAATAATTTTTTATCAAAATTGATAGACAAAAGAAATATTTCTATTTATTTCAAACGGATGACAATCGAGTAAGCAGTTAAACTGGTGCTGAAGACCACTACCGTGGACATACTACCGGAGACGTTGCAGGCGTGGTGCCAACCACTGATAGTCGATGGCTCATCACTACGACCTACCGCACCGGTAGTATAAAGATTAATACACTCTGCGGAACCAGCTGCCGCCGGCGGTCTTTCCGAACCGTTACGTCATGCGAACCGTCAAGGAGAGAGCATACTCTTTCCTAAAAGGCCGGCAACGCATTTGCAAGCCCTCTGGTGTTGCGGTGTCCATGGGTTGCGGTGATCACTTATCATCAGGCGAGCCTCATGCTCGTTTGCCACTTATTTCCCATTAAAAAAATTCATTTATTTTGTATGATGCATTCATTCACGCCGGTCTTCTTTGAGGTTTGCTGCTTCCCCGTTCGAGCTGATCGATTCATCAAGTGGGAACAGTTTACAGGCTGTTTCTGCTTTACCATAGATAACACGAAATAGCTTAATACGATTCACTAATAACTCCGTCACATTGATGACGTTCGTATAAAAGGTGACCGAGCTTAGTATGATATGAACATCCAGTACGAGTTTGATGTACTACAAATAGTATAAAGAAAACAATTGGAATACCGTTCTAGAAACAATTGTAATGGGGTCAATAAACCGTATAACACTAAACTAGATATCGGATAACCACTCGCGCTTACGTTAATCTCTCACCGACAAAGAGTCAGCTGTGGGCTTGGCGCCGGCGCACACCTGACCCTCTTGACTCCACTTGTGACCACTTCAAGGCAAGTAACTGCATCGGTTTAGGATATCAGTAATGTTCCACGCTTCCTGATGATATGGGAAGCTCGTCCAACGCCCATTGCCTAATAACGCCTTCGGCTGCCATTCCGGTGCCATTTAAAAATTTTGGCTTGTATGAAATTTTCGATATTCACAGTTAAAATAATTCTCGTCCGTCTAATATGGTGTCTTCATCTGGATTAGTTAGCGAGTTTATCAAAATCAAATCAAATCAAAAATATATTTATTCAAATAGACGCTTGCGCGTTCTTATGAATAGTCAAATTTTACATATAATATTATATATATAGGTTCGTAAGGTACCACCGATTCGGAAAGCAGTTTCTGTTGAGAAGAGACCGTCAAAGAAACTCAACAGTTGCTATTTTTCAAAAGTATTCTAGTAGTCTTATAGTAGTCTTATTCTAGCCTAACGTGAGTATCAACAGTATTAACTCCACACAGTGGCGTCGTCGAGATATTCCGCAATGGCGTACTTTCAAAGTATAATTTGTTATTTAGAAATGAATGTTTGTTTTCGAGACTTTAATAGGTTTCTGCGAAAATGTGTGATGGTTTACGTAAAGCATTGAAAAACAAAATTTTACAGGTAAATACCAACGTAAGGAATAAAACATATTATATATCATTTTATGTTATGTGGTAAAAAAATAAAATAGAATTTATATAAATTATAGGTCATTATATAATACATTAATAATAAAACATAATAATAAATACCTATTTTGAACACCTACATTAAAATTTTGCGAGAGTTTTATAGACAAATTTCATTTTCAACTTTATTAATACTTAATGGAATTATTGAAGATTTTGCTCGTAGATGAAACGATTATATATTAATAGAAATTATTTATATTCTATCACTACCTAGGTCTGTGCCTTATCCGTAAAAATAACCGAGTAATTTATTGAAAACTCCAGACGACAATATAGCTAATAAAATAAAAATAATTGTAAACTAATAATAGGAAAAAATAACATCAAGGAATAATTTTGTCCACTCTCAAAGAAGAAAAAAGATGTATGAAGAAAAAAACTGTATGTTCTCTCGATTAGCAAACTAGGCATTTTGTTACTATCATCACACTCCGTGGTAATCGAAGACGTACGTCTTAAGCGATGAAAGCTCCCAGTCATCTATATTTCAAGTACCACGCAAAACACTTTTAAAGAAATTTTATATATATATATATATGCAAGAAAATATTATAAATAGGAAAGAACCAAAGTGATAAGAAAAAACCAGATGGAATCGACATTTCCAATAATAATAGTTTACATAGAGATGATAACCTAACAGCTTGCTATAGGGACGAAATCAGAAATCTAACGCTGATACTAAACTTAACGAGGATTGTGCAAAAAATTCGGTAACCAACGAAAGCGAGAAACGGCTTCTAATCCCGTTGATCACGTTTCAGATGACGTATTAGGGCAACGTGTTAATAAACGAAGGAGGTCGGGTGCGGGCCGAGATGGATTCCGGTCTACTGCACGTTCCGAGGGTGGCGGTCTTCGGCGCACCACAGCGGCACGCAAGTGCCCTGCGATGCGTGACGTCATCGGCCGTGCAGTGACGACATTACACGGGACAGCGCGCGGCGGCTTGCTCAACGCGCGTGATGGCCCCCGCCCCGCTTGTACCCCTTTTTGATTTTCCCCATAACGCCTCGCCGGTGGCGGATAAAGGAAAATGTCGGAAAATACACCTTCCTCGCAGAGACACGACCAGGGATTTGCAATTTCCAGGTTTTGTAAACTTTTTTCAACATTTCTGCGTGCGTATGTCGTATACGCACGCACACACGCGTGACGCTTTTAATCAAAGTTGTCCTTTGCCATCATCGGTAAAGGTTTTACAACTTTTTATCGAAAACTGTGTATTACAAAGAAATAAAATCAACGTCCTGTCTACAGTAGTTTCCTTGCCAATATTTTGTAAAGCTTAGGTCGCAAACACGTCCATAGGAATTAATAAGTTGACGGACTTTGGATGGTATTATGATATAATTTCTCGTAGAAATTGTAACGTTTGGTCCCGAATTTGTTCCATAATATAGATAATAAACACTTACTTTAAAAACCACAAATATTATTTGGTTAGGAAAAGATTAAAATCATAATGAAAATGAAAAATGTTTACATTACCAAGGTTGCTACTTCAAAATTTTGTTACGCCTTCTTTCAAACATCCTTTTTGTATATATAGAGAAAAGATAAGTATATTATTAAGACTGTCTGTTAGGAGATCTATAATAATTCGACTGTTATGCCTTTGAAAATAATAATAAACAAGTCACTAATGTGAAATTTTTCTAGAAATATTTTCATCGCATCATATATATAGCAAAAATAAAACCGTTTAAAAACTTTTAAGTTAAACGGTTTTTTTTTTATGTGCACTGAAAAGTCTAATATTGTATTGTCATCTAAATTAAATGTGTGTACCAAATTTCAGATCAATCTGACAACGGGAAGGTGCTTAAATTTAAATTTCTAATTTTGACCCAAATAAATAAACAAATAAATTCCGTACGGGTCGAGCTAAATAAAACCGTTTAATAAGAGAAAATTCAAAATAAAAATTTTGTCGTCGTTTTTAAGTAACATTACCGAGACTACGGAATACGTTTTATGGAACTAACAACCAGCTGTGAGACCTGTGGCCTTTTTTAAATATTTGAATGCTTTAACCTTTATGAGGTCTATATTTTCCAGCTATAGCGATAACTACAGCTTTCAGTCATCAGGTTTGACCTCAGAACATAACTAACAGGTATGTTGTCGTAAATCGAGCAGAATTATTTCAAATCGATCGTCAGTGCTTTCTGCACATAAGGAATCCGAACAAACTTATAAGTTGTTTCCTCTGTAATTTGCCAGTGAGTATGTCTTAAATGAGAAATTAGCAGATTATTCATTAGGGGTAAACGAACATAATTATGAACCTCGTAAATGTTAATGAAAACATTATCGCCTGTTTTACCGTGCCCTAACTTAGTACCATTTGTGTTGTAGTTACGGTGTTGCAACTTGAATAAATTTCAACGAGTTAATATACAATGGTAACGCGTTAATACAATGTTATACTGTGGAAATTTCTCGTGTACGCTTGTTTAATGAACTTACGCCACGTAACCGACCGCACGTCGTTACCTACTCAACAACAATCCCCAACACGGCTGGATGGGCTTTAATAGAGTTCCGAGCTTCGGAGTAACGCTATAGAACTTCCTTGAAATGGCCGTGCACATATATAACTTCTAATTCTACTGTAGCTATAATTTTGAATTGCATCTGTTATTTTTGTATCCTATAGTTTTCAATAATATCACATAAATAAATAAATTATATGATATATCGACAAGCTAGCAGTGTCTTCTCTAAAACACGGTTCAATGAAACAAACCTGAATGAAACAAACTAATATTCCGAATAGAATTATTCCGTTAATCTATCACCATCACAAGCAGTCCGAGATCAAGCAAGCAGAGTCACCCGAAGAAACTTCACATTAATTTAAGTGCTCTTTAGGTGCTTCAAAAATAAAAAATGCACTTTTTCCAATGGGGAGCACTAAAATTTCATTCAAACTGTAGAACTTTTACGGTGGTAGGGCCACGCAGCAGCCTGGGCTGTTGCACGAATGGGCAGGCTCGTCCGGATAAGTACCACGACCTCACAGAAGACCGGCGTAAAGTGGAGGTATAATACTTTCGCGTTTCGTCTGGTGAGTGTGGTGGCTGGAGCCCAATTTTCAAAAGGTTGTCAACGCATCTGGAACTGTCGGGTGTAGCAGATGTCCATGGGCGGCGGTATTCACTTAACATCAGGTGAACCGTCTGCTCGCTCGGAAACGTATTCTGCTCGTTCGTATTAAAAAAAAAACTATCCGGTGCAGCTCTGGGGACACAGTTGAGCATGCACTTTAAAATAGAACAAGATAATAAGGATATGAGCACAGCTTCATAATTAGGTATTTTTAGGTGCTTAAGAATATAATGTTATGGACCCAAGTGTGAATTTTCAGTGAATTTTTTTCGTAATAAATTGAGTGAAAATATTATACAGAATTTGTTTTGTTTTGAACACTATCCTCTGCTTGCGTGACGGAAATTTAGTCACTTACCGTTCAGTGTCTCTCATAAACAATATAGAAAGAATGCAAACCGACAACATTCATGGCCTGTGTTGCGAATGTTCATGTGAATTAACAGCACATTTAATTAACAGCACATGAGATTACTGATTAATTTGATCTTAATTTTTGCCACCGCATCCATAAAAATAGTTTGATTTTTACCTATGCCTACATATCTAGTGAGACTAGAGCTTAGCGAATTCGTGACTAAAGATAAATTGTAAATAAACATCAATTATTTATATAAATTAAATACCAATTAATATAAAAATTAAAAATTAAAAATGTGAAATAGAAACATAAAACTTACTTAATAGATCAATGATGTGGTAAGGAAAGTTTAAAATGTATATCAAAAATTAACGCCAATAATAATATGAAATATGTTAACCACGAGATATTATGGACACCATGTAAAACTGACAAAAGCAGGATACGAACTTTTTTGTACAAATGTACGAAATAGCGGTTGAATTCTGCCGCCATCTTTAATCCGCCGAATAAATGTACTGTTTTATACAGTTCTATTTACAAGTGATCTATTACATATAAACTTTCCTACCTATACTACGTTGAATTTATTTACCAACAAGTTAATGACTCTCAATTTGCAATGAATGACGGAAATCTGTAAGATTAACAAAATAAAAAAAGCATGTTAGACATTATAAGATACATATAGTTTAGTGCGAAAATTGACTTGTTAGATCGGAATAATGACGAATGCGAAAACCTTTTTTTTTAATGCAAAAACCTGTCGCATTTAAAAAAAACCGTAGAGGCACCATCGCGGGATGTGCAATACATCATTGAGTTACAGTTCATTACGCTCCAAGGAAAGCCTTCTCACCGGGTAATTGATTGACTACCTGCTCGGCGCGTGGGCGGCGTGGGCTGGTTGCCGTGGCGACGCCCACGCGGCCCCCGCCACCCCACGGCCCCCTGCAGCCCAGCATTGACCCGGGGGACCTTGACCTTCCGGCAGGCGCGCGTGCCGCCGCCGGCAACCCGGCCACGTTTGCTGCAACTCCCGTCGAACGCTTCCGAAGCGTATTTTCGAACGCACTAAATCCGTGTGGCGTTTTTTAGCGTTAGCAGGAGCCGCGGCTAAGTTTAGCGGTCCGGAGCGCGCGGCACGTTGGAGCCGTGGGAGATACACGCCTTGCATAAGGCCCTGCGCTTGATACGAAACCGAAATCGTCCACACTTTACGGTCAGTCGACTGTTTGTTTGCGTTTCAGCTGCGACACGATGAAATCATCCGCTCTCTGCCATCGGCGAAATGAAAAATAATAAGATAAAAAAAATTTAAAAAAAATACGTAGAGAAAATACTTGAGGATTGATTCTTCATATAAAGATCTTTTCAATTCAATTGCGAGATATTTGGGATGTTTATTATTGTAAAACAACATCACATAATATAATAAGATTCCAATAAGGTAGACGAAATTAGTTACTACAATATATTCTTTAACTTTTTAACTGTTGCCCCTACGCTTTCCGCTGTTACCAAATTGGGCATGTTCGTTAAGTACTTAACACGGCGTCACAAAATATCTGCATTAAGGGAAAGTATTTTTTTATGTGACAAGGTGGCAAGGGAGCTGGCGGTTCACCTGATGTTGAGTAGGGTTGCAGATACGTTGCAACCTTTTAATGAATTGACCTTCGGTTACCTCACTCACCAGGCGAAACGCAGAAGTATATAACACATTTACTTCACGCCCGTCTTCATCGCCGGTCGCGTGGCCCTACCACAGTATTCTAGTATACTTCATACGTAGGAAATGTGGAGTAATTATATACAAATACGAGATAGATGACGCATCAAAACTGAGGCACTTAAATTACCCCGATTGGTGTAATTAGATTGCTACTAAATAGACTGCTATTACTTTTCGTATCATACGTTCTATATCATCTGTTGCATTCACTTACTTATGTCATATAATGTAAAGGGGAACAATTTTTTAACGCTGCACAGTATGGACATGCGTAATCTTTATTGAAACATCATTGTTACTTTGTAATCTTGCGCTTTTGTATACCACAGTTTTTCCAAGAGAAATATAAAAGCTCCCTTTGGATTTCTGTCAAACCAATATCGTGCCATTCGAGCGTGGCGAATAAGGTCAAATTGCAAACCAAATTTCGGATCAAACGTTGAACGTCGGCTTCTTTTATTTACAATTTAGATGTAACATATGCCCAGTGAACGAATACGTCTAGTTATTTGGAATGAAAAAGTGATATATCATTTGTTATAATAATCGATAGATGTTAGGTTTTAGTCTTTTAAAAAATAGTGACAAGACGGTAGATTCTTGATTGATGCCATGTATATCCTGTTCAAGAAAAGTCCCATCAAATTTAACTTTTATATAATAATCGATAGATGTTAGGTTTTAGTCTTGGTCTTGCCATCGGTGAATTGCTCAAAATGAAATAGAAAATTTAGACTGAAACGGTTTTTTTTTAATAAAATGTATTTGTAAGACGGTAGATTCTTGATTGATGCCAATGTATATCCTGTTCAAGAAAAGTCCCATCAAATTTAACTCTTTACTATAATTGTTAAACACTTTACTGATTTACCAGATGCGACACAATAATAAATAATTAAGCGCAATGCTTCGTTATTGTATGAAAATATTACCAATTCGAGAACATTCTTAAATTTATTATAAAACAATAGTAGAATTTTTGTCTTTATATAAGGTAGCATGAAGTTAAACAAATATTAACTTAAGAACAAACAAACAAAAGAAACTTTAACACCATAATGAATTTAAATTTCCTTTAGAAGGCTTTCATCAAAATTTCTTAATAATTTTAGCGAAAGTAACGTATTTTAAAAGATTTCTGTATTTATAAAACTAAGAAGAAATATGAATGGTATTATTTCACAATTATAAAATAAAATTAATCAATGTATACGCAAACTACTATTAATTTTTTGTGTTATGTTTTCTTAAATTGGACAATATCAAAATTAGAGATATAAAGAAGGACTTCTTGAGTACGCTTTGTTTAGTTTCTTTTTATTCATTTCTACGATAAAATAACGTAACACAAATTAAAAATAAATGTAGACTGTAATTAATGTGGGTAGAAAATTTGTCGGATTACATATTCTTTCTCCATTGGGTCTTTGTAACAAAACCTTATCATCTACTGCTTATCCTTTCCCTTTTTCTCATTCACAATTCGTCATTTTCCCCATCTGCTGTAGCCCATCGAGAGAATAGACTGGGGAGACAGAGCTATAGACCACATCTGCCGTAGTCTGTCATGGATGGCGGAGTTAGCACATGTAATTACGAGAAGGGGACAACAAGAGTTTCTTCCTCCCCAAGAGGGTCAAGATGGCTGCCAAAGCCTCTGCAGTTAGGCACTCCCGAGCCACTGTCAATATTAATCGTTTCATCTGCTGAGTCAGAAGTTTGACATAACCCCATGCGTAGACATTTCATCCAAGAAAAAAGTTAGTGAATATCACTAGATTTCTGTACGAGTAATAAGAATCGAGTATAAGTGCGAGTGAGTTAAAAATTCATTAAACAATGAAGTTTGTCGACAGCAATACTAGATAATTTGTAACAGATAAGCCTTGATTGCCATATAATTGAAACAGCCATTAATACCATATCAACAAACTCCCTACTATCGATGTGCTACGTGATATAATAAAGAGGAACTCGTTAATTAAATTCGAATAATTCATATCGATACAACATTACAATAAATCAGGTATCGTGTATGGCGTCGCATCAGCTTTTACTGTTGCACTAATGGCTAATCAAGGAAGGCCTCAGCAGAGCGGCGCCAAGTGGAAGTGTTATATTGAATTTTATCTGGTCAGTGAGGTAACCGTGGCCTATAGGATTTGTAAGTTATTTTGTGGTATCGCACCTACGGGCGGTATGTGGGTTATATTTTTTTTTGGTTAAATCTCAATAATGTCTAAATTGAAATAAAACGAATTAATATTTGCACGCCTTTCAAAGCGGCAGAATAAGCGAACTTGTGTAGATTTAAGACCATTATGATGGTGACAGACGAACAGACTGACAGACATACAGAGAGCGGTGTCTTAATAATAGGGTCCCATTTTACACTTTTGGGTACAGAATCATAAAAACTCCAACTAGACTGAAGAACTGAATCTATGACGTGTATAAGTAAAATAAAAAAATGATTACGTTTCAACACTACATGTGATGATACCTTATTCTCGCAAATAAATAAAAAATAATAAGGAGTTGTAGATGCCCCTGGGCGGCGGTATTCACTTAACATCAGATTAACCGCTCGATCGTTTCACTTCAACGACTTCGCACATAAAAAAAATATTTCTTTATAAATTTTAAGGTCATTTCGAAACCATACTTCGTCGTTAAGAAAACCCAAGGAATTTGTTCCGTCAAGAGTATTTCGTTATACTTTCGACTTGAGTTGGAAGAGGCCCTACAAACGTTAAAACAACTCTCTCAAGCAAAAGTTCACCAAGTAATTGTAACATCGGAAAATTATTTAGTGATGTACCGATACCTAAAATTCATGTTTTTTTTTATTATGACTTATGGAAATATTTTGAGATCGAGATTTTTATTCTAATTTCATAGTTCTAAATAGCTATATAAACCCAAGCATACGTCGTTGTATACTCACGTTTTTACATTTTTTATCAGTGTCATCATTATGTTCTGTGTAAAAAATTGTAATTTGTACATAGTTCAAGCTTTGTTATCGACCGAAAAAGTTAGGAATAATTATAATATTAAATTATATAGAAAAGGAAATAAATAAATCTCATAAAGAAAATTTGAAACACAGAGGTATGATAGAAAGTCTGATATTAAATTCTCATTTTAAATTTAATTTAAATTAATTCTAAATTTATAATTGCGCCTGCCTAAAAATCTCATCACACCATAGGTTGACTGGTAGAGAATGCCGCAAGGCATTTACTCCACCTATTGTTCCGAATTTAAGGTAATGCAATAAATAAATAATTAAATGTGCAATTTTTTTTTTAAAATTCTTAAGTAAAAACTGTACAAACTAATAGAATAAGAAAAGTTAGCAACAAAAGATATATAAATATCTATATAATATAAAAATAACTATCTACTCCTCTTTTAGTATCACCGCCATCTTTGAACCTTTCCTAAAAAATCGCTAGTAAAAATAAGTCTTACAATGCCGATAAAGGGTCGTTACTACTTTTATTGTAAGCTTATAAGGACTAAAGATGTTTTTGAAACGTGGGTCTAAAAATAAAATAATTTATTTTGTAATTCCCGTTTTCTTATTTTCAGCATTTCGCAGCTGTTATAAATCACATGTAGTGTAGAAACGTCATCATACTATTCATAAATTCCGCATTGAAATCTAGTTGGAATTTTTAATGATGATCAAGTAATATGTTATAATATAAAGCATGTTATTATTATTATTATGATGTTTATGTTGCATCATAATAACAATAATGACAACATTGGCATCTTCCCTGGCCTTTCAAATTTTTTTTATTGTACCATGCAAAACATACATATACCTGCAGAGCACCATGGCGCCTTAAGAGCATTGATTTTCCATACCCCTTGTCCGCTCTTATAACTCATACATAATGCAATTTGAAAGCATATTTTCATAGCGACGTGCGTAATACGCGGTGAAAATTATCATCTTCACGCGCGATCGCGTCGGCCGACGTCTGCTGAGCGGCGAAGCGGACGCGTATAATTATTGCTTGTCATCATATGAGGTATTCATTTGCGAGGTAAGCACCAGCTTTCACGGTCGCAGGAGGGTTGGGGAGGGAGTGAGGAGGGGTGGAGAGGGGCGGCCGAGAGTTGAGCGCGGGGTGAGATGACACGTTGTCCCCCCAGCTGCGACCCCCGCTTCGGATGTGCGTGTGGCTGTGCTTAGTAGTGTGGAGAAGTGATTTTACATAAAACGTTAGCCCTATCCTATTGAGAAATGTTACACATGAAAAATTAATAACATTTTTAAAACGTTTCGTTACACTGTCACAAACGTAAAGCATCTGTACGCCTCTTTGATAAATTGTATAAGATACTTTACAGAATTTTTTACATTATTTAGTCGTAATAGTTAATTATAGTTTATAGGTGTATATTTTTTAGATATAAATGAAATATAAGTACCATTTGTAATTTAGTAAAACAACAGTTTAACTACAGCCATTAAATAACCAGATAGTGGTGCTTAGCAACAGCTGCTATTCTGAATAGACCAGACGATCAGCAAAATACCGCCGCCGCAAAAGAGACTGGTTGAAATTATATTACTTATATATTAAATACATAAACATTTATTTATCTAATATTTATAAGATATAAAATTACATATTATCCAATAAATATATTAATAGATTTGCCTTTTATCTGCCGAGTAAGGTACGGAGGCCGTAATCTCAGTAGTTCGCAACTGGACTACAACATCTCTGAAATGATAAAAAATCAGTATACAAATATACTTGAACTTTAAGAGTCCCTTTCCTCCATTTACGAACATGTAAAATGGACAATAATGTAACAAAGTTGTCTTTTAAGTTTTCCATCTTTTGCTTCGTAAAGATACATTTCTTTGTGTGATCGGATTTTATAGACTGTACAAGTATCTTTTATATAAAAGAGCTACTTATTATTGCGATAGTATACCGATGCCTGAAAGACTCCAATGGAATTATAACAAGCCCTTTTCAAGTTTTAACCCAAGGAAACGTTAATATCTCGTTTTATATATTTCGGCATATAGCTCTAATGTCTCCACTTATGCTTCAGGCTTTTAACCTTTCAATTTCATTACTGTATGTATAATGACCGCTTAGATTTTAGATTGTTAAATTCTCCACAATAACCTATGAATAAAATTCGACTCGTGCAGTTGATTCTGCTTCGTTACCTTCAAGATTTATACATTAAATAGCTGACCCGGCAAACGTTATTTTGCCATATAAATTATTTGTATGGTAGAAAAAAATGTTTGGGGTGAACCACCCTTAACATTTAGGGGATGAAAAATAGATGTTCGATTCTCCACCCTGGCCGATATGCACACAAAATTCCACGAAAATCGGTCGAGCCGTTTCGGAGGAGTTCAATTACAAACACGTGACACGAGAATTTTATATATTAGAAGATAAGCAGGCACTACTTAATTATCCTTTTATCGTGTCCTACCCGTAATAAACTTATAAGTTACCCGTAATTATAAGTTATCTATAATCGTATAACTGCTTGTCCCTTAACTAACATTCAACTGTGCACAATTTCTTTCTGTTTACATAATATATGCATATCTAACTTTCCAATACCTAAGAAATTTTTCAATACCGTTAATGTTGTGAATGTAATTATTACTTTTGATAGATTACTTGTTTTATAAGAAATTGTTTTATTTAATATAGCCGCAAGAAGCCGATTCCATCCTATACAAACGATCCAAGAGGCCTTATTGACGTACAAAACAATAATTACCTGTGCCCAGCTCCCGTTGGCAGCCAGTCAAATTAATGATATGGAGACAAATTAACAGACATTCTTATGTATACCTTATTTAATTATTTTAGATTAATGATATTAAGATTGTTATAACGGTAAACACTCCGTAAAAAGCCTAGTGTATTTCGGACCTCAATATTTCCGTAGACATTTTCACATTTTATTTACATAATGCTTACTGAAATGGACAATAAATAAATAATGGACAATAACATAGACTTATTTTGTGCAGACAATAATATGACTACTTTTCCTTAACGTAATTACTATCGTATTCGAAAGAATTTTTGATAGCGACATCTAGTAAATGACACTCATCATTAGTGAGTTAATGCCAAACGAAAAATTACAGTAGAAGATATAAAAGAAAAGACAACAACAAAACTTCTTTCGAAAATTCAGTCAAATAATATCGATATATCGTGTCTTTGTGTGTTGTAAGCGTTATAAAAAACTTAATGGCATATTATTGTTAGTAATGTTTATTATTCTTAGTTAGTTAGACATGTGACATCAAAATACTGAAGATTTTACGTACAGTTTTTTTATAACTTTAAAGACATGACCATTTTTTCACGATATTTGTTTTACCGCTTGGCACATGGTAAATAAACACTTAAAATTGCAAATCACAATTTAATTACGCGAGCACCTGGGTTTTAATAAACTCTAGTACAATAAATTTAAAGCGGAATCGGGCTAAGTTGAAGGTTTACAGGATTTGATAACTAATAAATACATCCACACATATACATAGATACACGTACATACGTAAGTGTCCATACGTGCGTACACTAACTATGTTTTTTGTACAATACATATATATGTATTGTACAAAACTGCGTAACTATGTTTTTTGTACAATACATATATATGTGTACATATACTAAGAGATTTGTGAAAATTTTAATTTTAAAACGCTGGCAACCTCCTACGTAAAAGTTTTCCTTTAAAGTGAGAATAGGCGCTCCTCTCGACAATAGTGACGCACTAACTTTCTACGGAGTGGACGTGCATGGCAGAAGAAAGCAGAGGAAATTTCTCGAAAAGAGGTCGTTGGTGAACTACCGAAGTTCTGCAACAGTGAAACTCGGCAGCAGGTATTCTAGAAAGATTCCTCGGAACCCTTCCCATGATAAATTCTACGGAAAATATAAATATGCGATGTTTTTGTATTTTCGCGAAGTCATCGCAAAGACCAACAGATCCCGCCAATCGGAAAGAACTATGTTATTGCTATTTAAGAAGCTCTGCTTCTAATGGGGTAAATGGAAGAGGGTAATGAGGCGTGCCGACCGTGTGAATGTAGAGTTGTAATCTATGGGTCGACAAAAAATACTAGCTCCTTGTACTTAGGACTGTAAACCAAAATTGCACATGTACATTCTTTTTCTTAATGGAGCATCATTTCAATTATAAGAATCGGCTTAAACATTTGCCAGATATTCTTGTTTGTCAGAAATTTAATTAACGGTATTCAAGTATAATACTTAAATGTTTGTTAATAAAAAATCTATTTCGTGTTTTTGCAAACGCTCATGGTACGCTCACGGTTCGTAGATCCACTTATCTATAGCGCCGAGCGCAGAAAGGGACGCAAACGTCCAATCTAGTAGATGGCCCACGTAACGTTCTCCGTTACGCAATAACCACAAATCCCGCCGTACAACACTTTTCCGCGTAATTCCCGAAGCCAATAACGCACGCGCCTCGGGCGACTAGCTCCGGCACAAGCGGCGCCATGCGACCTCCGACCCGGGCCCTCTTTACGTGTAGCGAACGAACGAACGCGAATACACTAACAATGCTAAACAAAGAAACTTTTTTGTTGACGCCATAAACTAGGGATCCCATACTGAATGAATGATTGAATGAATGTATACTTTAGTGTCCCCACAACACATAAAAATTACACCAAATTTACCATAGACATACAAATTAATAGTATGCACAATTTGGCGGCATTAACGACACTGCCAAGGTAAAGTAACATTACACCAAAACATTATAAATAAGAGGAAATATTTAAAAAGTAACAAGCACATAACAAATTTCTCTTACATTTAAGATGAAACTCAAAAATGTGTAGATAAAACTGTTGAAAATTTTAAAATACAGAGATTTCGCGTCTCTTTATTTTCTACTTACCATGAGGGATATCTATAGAGTAAAGATGAATTTTTCTACAATACCTGCTGAGTTTCTCGATCACAGGACGCATCATCCCCAGCAGACACTTATCGTTATATCATAAACACGATACATCGATATTATTTGACTGAGTTTTCTAAAGAAGGTTTCCTGTTGTCTCCTTTTTTATGTCTTGTACTGTAATTTTTCAAATCATTACATATTAATATCCAAAGATCTCTCCAATTCGATACTAATTATCAAAAAAATGTCTGTGTTATTAGACAATAATATATGTGTATGTTAATTAGGGGATGGGATTGGCTCCTGAAATACAGGATATCCTAGTTCGGGAGTCAAGGCGCCATTAAATGTGTAACTAAGTGTTCAATAAATCACATTTATTATTATTATAATAATAGTGACATAGACATGTTGGTAAGCATTTGTGTCTTTGTAGTAGTTGTTAGTGCAAATTTTTAGCCCCTGCCGGGATTCGTACCTGCATTTAGGTTTAAATTTATGTTTCCTATCCACCTATTTTTGGAGCACACAAAGTTTCCTCCCATGCAGTCAATAAGACCTACATTTCTTGAAATAAACTATTACAGTTAAAGTTATAGTGAACTTGTAATATAATTCCTTTTTTATGTGAGAACGTGGCAAGCGAGTTGGGGGTTTACCTGATGTTAAGTGATAACCGCCACCCATAAACTTTGGCAACACCCACACTATGGGACGCGTTGCCACCTTTTAATAAAGTATACCTCAGCTACCTCACTCACCATGTAAAACGCAGAAGTATAACACTTGCACTCCACGCGGGTCTTCTGTAAGGTCGTTGTACTGCCCCGGACTCACCTGCCCATTCGTGCAACAGCGAAGATTGTTACATGGCCCTACCACTACTGTTAACTACTACTTCATGTTTACCAGTTGCAACATCTGCTATTGCACGAATAGGAAGTCTCGTCCAGTGAAGTATACAACCTCGCAGGTCACAAGTGTGAAGTGAAAGTTAGGAGCAACGCATCCGCAACTCCACAGATGTCATAGTTATTATGTAAATTTTCTCTGTACCACCCCAAGGTTGACTGGGAGATAATGCTTTTAGCATTAAGTCCGCCATTGTACTATTTGTGCATAAAATGTAAATAAAAAATAAAAATAGTTCATGGACGGCGTTATTTAACTTAGAATTAGTTTTGATTGCTTGTTTTAACGCAAACATTATAGATTGTTAAATGAAACTATTTTACGGTATTTATAGAGTTAAATTAAATTTTAAATTCCCGACGTTTTGAAACCTTTCCAGCGTTCATGTTCACGATACAGACAGACGTCGAGAATTTAAAAATCTAATTAAACGCAATAAAATTGTTAAGAAACTATTTCAACGATTTAACAATACTTAAGATGAGGTTAACCGTCTTCTCGCTTGCTCATTCCCACACATAAAACTTTACTAATCTCAATTTTTGTTAGACAAAAAGGAATATTTTCAGTTTTCTCATAATGTTTTTTAAATTGAAACAACTCAACGGAGAGGGGCAATACATACTTCCGCATTGACGTAAGTAGAAATAACAAAAGAAATAGGCTTAGGGCGAGCGCGTAACACCTATTCATGGCTTCCGACTTTATGCAGATGTTGGATTTTCATTTGCCTTGTTTCCGACTGCCGTTGCGTAAAGATAATAGTGTTAAAAATTAGTACTGTTTCTTTAAAAAATTGGCTAGCGCGCTTACCATCAACGGGTGCGTCGCAACTTACCATCAGGTGGGATTGCAGTCAAGCGCTCGCCATTTTGAAATAAAAAAAAAAAAAAACAAGTACAAGTACAAGTAAAAGTTATTTAGTAACAAGAAACAAAAGCTCTATAAAATATCTCACTCCTACATTTTGATTTAGAACAGTTCACTATTTTAGTATTAGTTAATGAAATTAACATGGGCCATGTGAGAGCTAAACCGAACCCGATGCAAAAATAATTTTTATAATATGTAAACAAATGACGAATCTGTAATAATAAAATCTGTCTGTAACAAAACAAGCTTATTAAGTTTTAGCAATTGGTTTTTTCTATTATAGTTCTCTCTGTTATTTACCGTTTGAATTGACTTTTCAATCATGATGAGTACGTTAACTACTCATTATAGTGATAATGTCCATGTCATCACGGATTATCATTACTATAATGATTAGTTAACCTATTCGTCATCCAATGACGTAGCAATATGCATTGCTGCTGCCTATGTCTAACGGTGGTAGTGTCGTTGACCAATACGTGACTCCCTTGTTTGCCACATCTTCCTTAAAAAGTTTGATAACTATAAGAGTTCTAACGTTTTACCTTGATCCTAATATTTTAACTATTACTGAACATGAATATTAACAACTTTTTATAACGACAAGCAGCACTAGTGGTTATATAACCGTCCGGGAACGCAGCCGAAATCCAAGTGACCACTCCTCCATGCGACCATGTGTACCTTGGCTCAAGTAGATAACGTCATATCCGGTAAACAGTGTTGCCAGCGCCAACATTCGGCCGTCCTGAATCACGCCTTCGTCCTCGAAGCGTTGTAGTCTGGTACAAGTAACCTTCATAAAATTAACACCTTACCCTGTGACTTATCTCCCTCAACTAGGTTGAATATCGCCACGTTCAGAACACCTTACATTGTGGCTTATCCCTCAACTGGGATGCATATCGCCACGTTCAAAACACTTATCCTGTGGCTTCGCCACGTCCCTCACAACTGGGATGTATATCGCCACGTTCAAAAGACTTATCCTGTGGCTTATCCCTCACAACTGGGATGCATATCGCCACGTTCAAAACACTTACGCTGTGGCTTATCCCTCAACTGGAATGCATATCGCAGCCGAAATCCAAGTGACCACTCCTCCATGCGACCATGTGTCCCTTGGCTCAAGTAGATAACGTCATATCCGGTAAACAGTGTTGCCAGCGCCAACATAACTGTCGTATTATATGCCTTACAATCTTATAGTACTACACTTAACCCCCTCAAAATTAAAAAAGGGGAGAAAGTAACTTTAATTTATGACACAAGTTTAGACGAAAAATAAAAAAAAAACTAAATCTGAATCTTGTTCATAGAACAAAGTTAACTTCGCTTCATAGCTATGTTTCACCATAATTAAAGGTTTCAGACGGTACGCAACATTAGCACGGTCATAAATAATACTTTAATTACTACTTACCTTATCGTAATTACTTTGCTAAAATATTAACTATTTTCCCGGTTACGTGGATGAGTGACGTCTAGATACGCCCAGAATTTATGAAGTATTCATTTGACAGCTCACTCTATTGGAAATCTGTATTTGATGGCCTTTTTCGCAGTATGTAAGCTACAAGCTTAATATCTATCGTGTTTTTGTTTCTACCCTTTATAAGTGTTCGTATGACTTACTACTTATCATTTAACTTTTTGCTAAAATGTAGGTAATTTTACAAGTTAAATTTTTATTTGTATAACATATCAATGACTCTCTCACTCAATTACCTTATAAATACTGTATAGTAGAGGTAATGTAAAGACCACAGCACCAGCTGTTCGGGCACATGGCCTGCAATTGTCGCACCATTGTACTCTGGTGTGCCCCATCCAAAAGATTCCGCATTAAGCATCCACCTCATTAGCTATCAGGCAATACGAAACCCGTAAAACCTGCACCCCAGACACCCTCGCCACGGGTGCAAGGCGGCAACAATCAAATTCGCCGAATTGTGTAATTGATTTGTCGTTAGTCTGCGGAATATTGAATTCTTTGAATGTTGATGATAATGATTAAAACGTTGTATGTGTAATGATACGGTGTGATGATAAAACGTGTGATGATAGTGTTTAAATGTTGATGATTAAAACGGGACCCTATTACTAAATCTTCGCTGTCTATCTCTCTGATTATCCGTCTGTCACCAGGCTGTATCTCACCGTGATAGTTACAGTTGAAATTTTCACAGATATTGTAATTTCTTTGTAATTACAATTTTTTATTCGGTTTTTAGTACTTGTTGTTATCAATAAGTACTAAAAACAGAATAAAAAATATTTATGTGAGGCTCTCATTGTTTTTTTTCCCTTTTTATAGATAATGATACGGAACCCTACGTGTGCGAGTCCGAGTCACAATTGGCCGGATTTTTAATTATTTAATCGAAACGGCATTAGAAACCTGAAGGATAAACTTGCATAACTATAATCTAGATATATTTTTACCCTTAGAGACCCTCTTGAAACCTAACATATCCGACCCTAAGATCTCTAATTATAACATAGTCTGACACGACCGGATAGCAAACCACACTGGCGGCAGTTTAATTTATTAGGAAAGCCACTGTAGCCCCGAGCTAGGTCCAATGCAGAGTCGCACGTACAGACCACAGATTTGCATTAGTTTCAGCCATCTTCTCGGGGCACTACAACGAACACATTACTACGAAATATATCTCGCAAAAGCTGTTTGAATACTTATCGTCCGAAAAATTTATGCACATCATTCGAGCCCTCCTGTTGAATCACTCTTTCTGATACCAAGTTCGAGGGCCTTTTTGTATAAGCCACCCCTTGATGTGAGCATTCCCCAAGGTTAACTGTGGTAAGGCCACGCAACAGTTCGCTTATGCACAAATGGTCAGGTCCATCCGGGGATGTGCCGACCTCACAGAAGACCGGCGTGAAGTGGAAGTGTTATGCTGTGCTTTTCTTCTGGTGAGTGAGGAAGCCGGGGCCCACTTAATTAAATGTGACAATGCATCTGAAACGCTACGCGTGTTGCAAATGTCCATAGGCGGTTATCACTTAACATCAGGTGAACCGCCAGCTCACTTTCCACCTTCTCACATGAAAAAAATGTCAATAGGCTCCTGCCTCTCACCTTACGCCTACATGAGCGACATCCCAAGAGACCCATATAAGTGAATGTCACTATTTTCGCGGATGAACCAGTCCTATACTACTCCGGTAAACATCTCTACTGAGTTGCCTCCAAAGCACCGCCGATGGCCTCGGTGATTAGTTCCTCAATCGAGAAAAGACGTTAATCCCTAGAAGTGTGTAGCAAAACACTTCTCTTCGGAACTACCCCATAGCCAACTCCACCTTGACTGAGCAGGAAGCTAGGTCTGGTTACTGGTTACTATTGTACGACAAGTCTATCCCGTGGTTAAAGAAGGTCGAGAACTTTGGAGTCACTTTCGACTCCTGGCTCCTGACATTTTCCACACAATAAAACATACCAATGAGATAGAGCGGCGATAGTTTCGGGCCGGATCTATAAGATGAACAAGCCTTCCAGTCAAATGCCCACATAATATGCATATTTTGTCAAAATATGCACGCCTATAATTCAGAATAGAATGTCAATATGTCATGTCGTATTATAATAAGGTTACTTTTAAGTTTCATTAATCATGGATAATCGAGCCATAGGCAGATCTTGAACAAAAGCGATCTGATATCTCGCCTCATATCTTATTGCCTCGCAAGGTAAGCTGCAGCCATCTTCGACGATTCGTTAATAGTGGACTGATGCAAAAACGGTATATTTTAAAAGAGATAATAAAGTTAATTACCATTAAGTCACACGAAACTGAAATTTGAGTTTGGACAATGTTATGACCGGAGATGTAATTCAACTATCTTTGATTTTACATTCCAATAGATTTTGTTTGACTCTGATTAGTGATGCCACATTTCTAATTACGTAATGGACTGTGGATTGAAACGACTAATCGAAGGGAAATCGAATTACTCGCAACGATGAATATAATTACCAACATTAATAATAAAAAAGTTATATTCAATCGAATGATTCTATTATTTCATAATTTCTTCAGTACCACTTGACTTCTTGGTGGTTCGTCGCCGTGAGCGTCTTTAACGTCTGAAATATTAATTAAGCTGAACACGATAATGAATGTGATTGTTAGAGTAGCAATTGCGTCAATTTTACCGTATAGGATACCTGGTGTTTACTTTCTATAGGCAAGGTACAGGTTTTAAGTGAAGAGAGGTGACTGTAAAGTTTTACTAAACACTTAAAAGAGATATTATTACCCATTCCTTTATTCATGAGTGAAGAGCAAAATAAAACTAACATTTGTACTACCACCGCCTTATGTCGAGTTTTATGGGTATCCGCGCCCTGTATAGATGATATTTAGAAAATCATTAGTTGTAGCCAAACTTCAGGCGTGGCGCTACGTAGTGTAGGTACTATAAGGAATTTTAACTGTACCATCGCTGCAGATATTTTTTTCGTTATCTTTTATTCATACAGTAAAAAGATGGCAAGCGAACCGGCGGCCAACCATATGTTAAGTGATATCCGCTGCCCATGGACATATGCAACGCCTAACGTGGGCTTACACATGCGTTGCCACCTTTTTACAAAGTGGGCCACAGTTACCCACGTCTGTTTGTTGCAGAAATGGGCAGGTCCGTCCGGGTAAGTACCACGACCAATCAGAAGGCCGGCGTGAAGTAGAAGTGTTATACTACTCTGCGTTTCGTCCGGTGAGTGTGGTGGTCGGGGCCCACTTTATTAAAAGGTTGGCAACGCATTTGTAATCCTACGGGTGTAGCAAATGTCCATGGGCGGCGGTTATTTATTTAATTATTTAAACTTTTACACAAAAAATTTACATTGTGTATAGGCGGACTTAATGCCTAAGGCATTCTCTACCAGTCAACCTATGGGCGGTTATCACTCAACAGCAGGTGGACCGTCAGCTCGTTTGCCACTTTTTAACATAAAAAAATTGCTTAATGCATACATCATGATAGAGTAATTAGAGCAATTTATACGGCAAAACGCTTCCACTCCTTACTTGTACCTACTGTTGTAACATATAATTAAAAGATATCGACCAAAGCGGAATAATTTACACCCCATGGAATTTTTACTCAAGAATGTTTTAACGGGATCAAAAACGACAAAAATAACAAATATCCCTGTAATTAATAAACCGTACTGATTTTAAGTAACACTTTTTTTATATTTTTTTTATGAAATTTCAACCAAATCAATATTTGGAAAAATAAATTTGATTTAATATTTTTATTTCTTAAAAGCTGTATAATCATAAATGTATTTATAGATTAATAGGAGAGTAGATTAATGAAAATATATATTTAATTTTATTTATTTTATTTATATATTTAAAAAACCATAATTAAAAAAATATTTTTCTAAAAAACTAATTAAGTAAAAAAGAAACAAAATTTGTAACATCCTATACAACTACAACAACAAGTGAACAACGTGATACAAAACAAATGAACTTTACGTTACAGTTTTATACGTAAGGCTGTTCTAAAATTATTTGTTTTGGAAAATTTAATAACTCTGTAAATATTGATGTATAAAGAATGTAAATTTTGGATACAATTTTAAAAAGTTATCCTCTATATGTGTGTCCTCTATATATGTATACAGCGTGTCGTCGTAAAAAATAAAAATACGTAGTTGTACAAAAGCTATAAATACGTTTTAATGATTATAAAATAAATATTCATCTTTTCTGGTCTAAGCTCAATTTTTTTTGAAAGATTATTTTTTTCCAAGCGTGAAAAATTCATAAACATATTTTATATGTATTGTGTGATATCTTTGAGGAAAGTTGATACCTAACATTTCCAGGCTTTACGAAACAAAATGGGTTGACAAAGGTTATCAGAGTATTAAGGAGCATTTTCCTTTTAAATAGGAACCCTTATTTCGGGCGACCGAAAAAAATCCTTTCAATTTAATGCTCCTGGAAATACGTTTATCAATATTCTGATCAAGATGATTCTGCATAGAAAACGTATTTATGAAACTTTCAAAGATTTTAAAATAAAAACAAAAAATCACTCAAATGGTTTACGAAAAACCCTCGATTATGATTCAATGAAGTCGAAACCCTTCATTCAATGAAGGTTTTCGACTTTTTTATTATTAAAAATATCATTGATAGTATCAATATTTAATCTGTCCCATATTATATTTGATTTTTAAAATGAGTATATTAATTGTTTATAAGCTTTCTATACCTAATATCTAATCAAGAGCTGAGTTTTGTATAGTGAATTTTATATCGGTCTTAGTAAAATGGCCGTTGCTAATGATAGTAAGAATCGAACTGCTAGCAAGTGAGGAGCTTTGTGCTTTTGACTTTATCTACAATGCATACATTTCCGATCCTCTATGTGACAACTCTCAATTTGTTTGGGCCAATGTAGAAGACAGTCGCTAATGACTTTCACGTTTCGCTGAATGGGATATCGTCGAGCTAGTTTCGGTCGAAACCGAAACTTACTTATACAAATTGAAAAAGTTCTATTAGTATATAATATATTATTAATATTGTATTATACTAATCAGTAGACATTTATTTGCATATCATATACATAGATAGTTAAATGGTGTTAAATACAATAAATGGAAAAAAAATTAATAACGTAATGTTAAGTTTAGTTTTCTTATTTATACATAAACTACAGACTCGCTTCAAATTTATTCAGACAGAAGAAGCAATATACGATTCGAAAATGTTGATAAAGTATTGTTGTTTATCTATAAGGTTGTTTAATTATGAATACTAAAAAGAAATAACATTTAAAGTCTGCTTTTGCATTCTTATGATTACAATTAGTTTATAATTTAAACTACAAAATTTGCTTGTTTTTTTTTATACATTTTTGTTCTTGTTTAGAAGAAGATAATTGTGACAAATATGTTTACAATATATTTAATTGAAAGACCACGAACGTTTTCTGGGATTGTGAACGTTTTACATTGTCCCATAAAAGATTTACTTATTCTACGCAATCTAGATGAGGGTAGAATTAATTTATGTTTGTTCCGAAATTACCATAAGTGTTTAACTCATAACGAACACATAAGATTCCGTTTCGACTGAAATTTGAAGAGATGCCATATAAATGGTAACAGTTGCAGCTAAATATCGGGTGCCGGTTGAAGAGTGAAGGATATTTTTCTTATTAATTAATGACTGGTTTGTTTTTTTTTTTTTTTTTAAGGGGTGAGAAATCTTACTTGGCGCCGGGCTACGATATCGCCGTTGTTGTAAAATTTAGGGAATAAAATGAATACCAGTTTGCAACAAGTCCATTTTTATTAACGAAAAACAAAGCCGATTTCTATATATCTATATACTGGAACCCAAGAATTAATACCAATAGAATAAATATGGGAGGCGCCAGCTTTCAAATAAAAAAAAAAGAATCAATCTCGGAAATCATCAAAATCTGTTCACTCCGTCGAAAGTTCTGAAAAAAAAACATTAAAAAAATACATCCGAATTGAGAATCTCCTTCTTTTATGAAGTCTGTTAATAAAGTTGGATTTGACACGAGAAGGCAGCGTTGGCTCTTACATGAAAACAGAAAATAAAATTTAGGAAAATTAAATGGACCGAACGAAGCGGCCAGTTTCTTTCACATGCACTAAATAGTTCATTTAGGGTAGGGCTGGTCCATTATTGCAGCAGTGGCTATTTTGTATGCTATCAGTGCTCTACCATCGTATACATTATTTAAGCGTTACCATTAAACTTCCTGCTTAATAATCATTATCGAAATAAAAGGCCATTTTTTTTGTTTCATTTTATTAATGCATTTCACGTCTACTACGTATACATATATAATAATTACTAGATGTCTGCTACGGAAACAGCCATCGTCCTACGTTTCTAACAGCTACAGAATATGCGATAACACTTAGAAGACCAGAAAATTCATTAATAGTATAATAAATACAGTAAATTCATACGTTTCTATTCTAGAACATTATTATTATTTTATCAGTAAATAATTGCCATTAAGGCGCTGCGCAAACGTGAGCTACAAGTGAATATTCACTCAATCCGCATACGACGCATTTTTGTGCAGTTGCTCAAACTTGACCAATATCGATCGCCAATTAAAGTGTTCAGTGTCGATAATTCATCGACATCCAACGTCAAACTGACGTAAAACAAGCAACGAATCATAACCTTATACCATCAGTCACGGGCGTAGCCAGATTATAAGTATCGGAGGGAATCAAGAAAACGATAAAAAAGACAGCAAATGAAAACTGTGTTCACCTTCCAAAGTAATATGACTAGGTAACCTTCAAAAGGGGAACACGTTCGCGTATCCCAGAAATGGGCAATTTAATTAAAAAAAAAATAGTAATTAAATATTCATGTAATGTTTTGAATATACAAAATGCGTATACGTTTGCTCAACGCCTCAATGTACAGTACTATAAACATTGTTGGAATAAAAACCAGGATACAGTTTATTATGGAATGTATGACAGGTATTTCGTTTTTAACTACTTTAGATAACATTAAACGTGCTTAAACTAAAGTGCATACCCATATTTTTCGTGATGTATCGTTTTATGTAATAATAAATGCATCTCTTTTTGAAATATACCTAAAGTGTACTGTGGGTCTCTTGGATAGTTGACATTGTTTGAAATTTGAGCCTATAGACAATTCTACTATTAGTACAACATCAACATTTTTAAAAGTAAACATTCATGTAGAAACAGATAAATAGTTTCAGCTAAAATACAGTGACCAATACTACTCATTTGCTTAAATATATATTAGATCATAGACATGACAGATGAATATTAACAATTAATTTTAAATATCTCAGATGGAATTCAAAAACTAACAACATATTATATGTAAGAAACATGAAATTAAGTTTAAATATAAAGATTTAAGAATATTTAAAAAGATTCGATTAAACATATGTTTATACAAATAGCAGCCATTTCAATATAACAATTTAAAGAAATAATTATGTAATAAATAAAACGGAAAATAGAAACATTAATTGCATTATATCATTATGAAATCTAAAATGGACTAAAATGGAAAAATAAACATGAAGTCACGAAAAACTTGAACTAATATTACATTTTAAACTTAAACTATATTTATGATTTTATTATATGAAATAAAATTAAAATCTTAAAAGCAATTTATAATTCGTCTAAGTTTAAAAAAAAAACATAAGACTTAATCATATCATGAATATTGGAATGTTTATAGACGTGTTTTTTTATAATATGTTCAAGCTTTCTTTAAGAATTTTCAAATTTTTAAAATATCATGTTCTTCAAAATTGAAATCCTACATGATTACATTTTAAAGACAGATATTGTACACTTTTAACTAATAAAATAATAAATAAAAAATATAAATGTGATATGTTATATAAATAATTGTCTTAATGGTTAAGGGTGCAATAGACGTCCTTAAAATTTAAGAAATAAAAATTAAAATTAGGAAACTTAATCTTGGATAATACTGAATAAAAAATAATCATTGCAAATATAGATATCTATATATATATACAGCCTTTTATTTTGAGATATTGGAATGCATTTAATTGTTTTGTTTCACTAACCATAAATTTAAAATGCGACAATTGACTATATAACAAATAACTAAAAAAAATAAACCATTAAAATAGTATAGGTACATATACAATCAAATTCATAAAAGTTGTGTAATGAAAAGGAATATTCAAAAAATTCAATTTACAGTTAGACAACAGGTGTAATTAAAGAACAAAAATAATACTACAGCAAAAGTCATTTACATAGAGTCATTCAGAAACTTTTATTTTTGACAGCACAGTCAAAAGTATCTGAACAAATCAAAATCTTTTACTATATAAAAGGGAAGGTCCCTTTTATATAGTAAGTAAGTAATTACTTATATAGGAGTCCAAAGTTTTATCAATTTATAATATTTTAAAAAGGTCAAAACAAGGTCAACAAAATATGATTTTAATTTATCTTGATAAGTTTTACAGCCTTTTTTTTTTAGTTTATTAGGTCATATAAAATAAAATAGAGCAATGATTTTATGTCAGGATATGTATCTAGTTGAATATCTATTGAAATATTTTTAAATATATAGCCATAACTGTGACTTTAAAAAAATATGGGTTAATTATGCCTTATTGAGGTAATTTTTGGAATAATTATATTTTTGGTAATTAAAAGCTTATAATCACAGAATCTTTGATGTTAAAAAGTTAAAATTAATTTTTCGAAAGTAGAATTTTTGTTTGATCTGTAACTTTAGATATAAGGTTTAACATTAAACAAGTAATTTAAATCAGTATTAAAATTTATAAATGTCATATTTTAAAATCGTTATACCTACCTGTATTATTGTAATTTCAAAAAGCTTTTGGCACATGTATGTATATAAACCTTACAAATAAATCAGATCTTTGAAATAACAAGAAATATGAACATAAAGGAACCATAAATTCTTATTGAAAATTTAGATCATAGATTTTAACATATCAATATTTTTCGTTAAATTGCATTAATGTGAACAGCTTTTCTACAACCCAAACAAACATATTTGTGGGTTAATAATAAAAACATTAAAAGAGAAAAACTGAGCTGCAATTATTCTTGAAAGTACAACCAAATTAAAACATCAGGGATCCGATTATCATATTCAAGAAGATGTACAGAATATTACATCTTAAAAGAAATTAAAAGATGCTAAATGTGGGATGGGTTACACTTACTAATTATATGGCCTACACCCATCATAACAGATATACGACTTATGTCTTTATGAATAAAGTATACTGTGACGATGCCAAATCTTTTGCTACCCCCTACAAATGGTAATCGTGCCTTCTCTTACAGGGTGCTCGCTTCGCGGTCGGGTATGAGGTTGAATCCTTCCGGAGCATTCTCCCAGTAGTAGTATGGGGGACCGTCGGTGAAGCAGTATTTCTTCTTCAACGGGGCGTCCTTCTCCACCCAGTACATGAGATAGAAGTTGCACATTTCATCGTTGTTTGTCGAACTGGAATTTTATAAAGTCAAACATAAATACCAAACGGCTTCTACCATGTTTGTTTTGTTAGTTTTTTTAGGTGTAATTTTAGCTGTTAGGAATATTTATATTTTTACTAGCGGACCCGACAGACGTTGTCCTATATACATGACTGAAATGCGAAAAGAACTTATAAATAAAACAATTTAAAAAAATGTAGACCGAATTGTGAATCTAAGCTAATAGCAATAGATCAGACAAAAACAGGCAATAGACCCATATTACGTTACTCTCCTGCGAAGAAGCTCCTACGTGGCTCCAGAACATTCTAATGTTTACCCGAGGGCCTAGCTACTTCCCCGGGCGAGCCAGCACTTTTGTAATACAGAAGCCGCTGAATGGCTCCAGAACATTCTGACGCTAAGCCCTTTCGTGGTACAGCAGCAATTGTTTCGAGGCTCACGACCATTCGGAAGCTCACCCGAGGCCTGGCCCCTACCCCGGTCGAGCCAGCCTTAGGCGCTACGGAAGCTGCCGCGTGGCCCCAGCACGAGGGAAGTTCCAGAACGTTCTAGCGCTCACCCGATCTTGACGTGACGGCCCTGGTTGTTCTCCATGGTGCAGCGGGCGGCGAGCACGTCCCCCTTGGCGAGGGGCGTGCTGTCCGCCACCGGGTAGAACATCTGCGGCAGCTGCGGGTCCTTCTTGCCGATCAGGGACCAGGAGTCGCCGCGCTCAGAGCGGCGCACCGCGAATCCCGACACAACCTTGCCTACAACGAGATACGGGCACTTTTTTTTTTTAAATTTAAGTAAACGTAGCGGTTCAAGGCATGTTACATCAAAATTCTTTTAACTATGGTAGGGCAAAAAGTACCGCTCAGAAGCGGCCCTGCCAGTTCCTGCAATAGCGAGGACTGTTGCGTGGCTCTACCACAGCTGGATAATGCTACTGTAGAGGGGTTGGGCAGTGATCTCGTGCTCAGTACAAAGGTTGTACAAACCCCCATAACCCCACCTGTTTCTACAAACAAAACCCCCATAACCATCATCTTTTGAAAAAGAAACCCCCCCCCCCCCCCCCCCCCCCCCCCCCAATACAAAAAAGCGTGCACATGCAATGTTTAAAGTATCCTCAGGTCGAACTAATACTCACCTAGCGAATGGGTGTGCGTGCGGAATGCGAACGGGTGTATGACCTTGTCCTCGTCCAAAGTACAAGCGGTCTCCATGTGCTCCACGGAGTTGGGCGGTATGTAGCCACCGGTGCCGAGGAGTATGACGCCGGCCTGGCGCGGCATGCTTTTCGCCGTCGAATTGAAAATGCACTTTTTTATAATCATATATTTGTTTACGTAAATGCAATTGTTGATTTTAACCATTTTTAACCGAGTTTTATAAGGAGGAGGTTATACAAGTCGGATGTTTATATTTTTTATGTATGTTCGGACAACGTAGAGTTGTAGAGATTAGATAGGTCTGGTTACATAAGTTAGATTTTCTAGATTTGATTATATTGGATTTAGTATATTTTATAAACTTTTTAGTGCTGATAGACTTTTGTGAAGTCGGTTTTTTTTTGTTAAAAAGCTCTTTATATGTATTTTAATCCGTTTTGCGTCGCGTTGGTCATAAATTAGCTCAAATTTCACTGATCTTGGATATTAATATTTTTCATAGTTTTATCTACTCTACTAAAACCTTTTATTTGATACCCATATTGAAGGGGTTGTGATGTGAAAAATGAACCTGCCATTTTGTTGGCAGCCATGTTGGATTTTCATAGACAACTCTATTCTGCTATTAATTTTTTTCACTTGATAAAATATGTAATAATTTGTAGCGCGGCCATCTTGCAGCATTTACAAGGATACCGAATGTATTAAATTGTATTGTCATTAAAACTAAAGGTGCGTACCAAACTTCAGATCAATCCGTGAACAGGAAGGGGGTCAAATTTCAATTATTATATTTGACCCAAACAGGTCAAGCTAAATAAAACCGTTTAAAAACCGTGCATGTACCAAATGACTGCTTATTTGACGCTTCAAATTGATTCGTCAAGACAAAACGATTATTATTGTGATTATGAAAACGATGGAAGTGTAACAAATTGCATCGATACGATTCAAAGCCGCCTGGCGCGTGGACGGTTTGTCCATTTTTTGAGTAAAAAGTTGGCAAAAGGTGCCTGATATTGAGTCATAATAGCTACTGAGCTATAAAGACATATGTGTATTGAGCAACCTCGGTTCCAATCCCGGCGCTTAATGTTAATTACAATTTAAAGTTCCGACTTATCACGTGCTGAACAAACGCTTAGCACTTCAATATTGATTATCCGAGGAGTTTTATGTTGGAAATACAATACATACTTTCGAAAATCTCATCGAATGCAAGTTGTGTGGTGTGGTAACCTTGTTTAATGCAAAGGTTTCAAAGATATGAGGTTTAGATTTAGGTTTGTGCTATGTATAAATAAATAATAATATAAATATCTCGGACTCATTTTTACAAAACCTTCTCTAGTCCCAAACTAAGCAAGGCTTGTACTATGGGCACCAGAAAACTGTTAAACATAATTAAACATACTTTTCTTTTGTAAATAAATATAATAATCTCATACATATATAAACACCCAGACACTGGAAAAGCACTATGTTTCTCACACAATATTTTTCCTGTGGTGGAGATCGAACCCACACCCTCTGGCGCGGGAGGTAGTTTCACTACTCCCCACGCCAATCGGGAAATGTTAGCGAAACGGGTAACGTACGTCTTTTGCATTTCAGCAAAGTAACTTACCGCCTTTTAGTATACTTCAAATAAACGCCGGAGTCATCCGTGGTGCCCTCTGAAAAAAAATCAAGGAGATGCAATGAAATATTAAGGTCAGAAAGCGCGTAAATTCGTTTACAAAAACATAACTGTGAAAGCTTTCCTAATAGGACTGAATCGGTCAATGTCTTCTTACCCATACTAGCCGTAGGTCCTGCAGTGTTTCCAATGAAAGTACTCTTTAGAAATGTAATACTTTAATTCCGCTCTTTAATTTATTAAAGTTTACCAACAAATGTTAAATTTAGGCACGGGCTTATGACACTGGGTAGTAAGTGCTAGGTTTAAATGCACAATCTTTTCGAGGACAAATTGATAATGTTGCTGTAAAACTGATGTGTACGCACCCACTGTGTGCAGTAATAAACGAGTGCTCTTACGCAACGGTTGTTTCTTTCCAAGTCTATACATATCATTGGCGACGAGGTCGGATTACCCGCAAGTAAAAAAAAAAATGGCGTACTTAGGAAATTTGCCTATTTTTGACCATAAGTCCTGTGAGTGGTCAATATTTAAAGCCAGATTGTCACAATTTTTAAAAATAAACAAAATAGAAGAAGGAGACAAGAGTGGAATACTGCTTACACAACTTAGCGAGGAGTCGTTTCGTTTAATACGAAACTTAGCGTACCCGCAGGAGCTGGAGTTGTTGAGTTTTGCGAGCCTCGTACAATTACTCGACAGCCATTTCAAGCCGAAGCAATGCTCGTTTGTGGACAAGGCGAATTTTTATGGAGCGAACAGAGGGTCAGGCGAATCATTGGGAGAATGGGCGGCGCGACTAAGAGGTCTCGCAAGCTATTGCGATTTCGGCACCGCTCTGGAAACGACCTTAAGGGATCGTTTCGTTCTCGGCCTGGGCCCAGGTCCAGAACGCGACAAGTTGTTCGAACAGAACCCGTCAACACTTACGCTGACACGTGCTATCGAGCTGGCTGAGCAGGCAGCTTGCGCCAAACAGGCGATGGTGATGTGCAACAGTGAAGCTATCCCTGTTAAGGAGGAGCCGGTATACCGAGTGCGAAATCAAGGTCAACCCGGTCGGGTCAGTGGTGCTCGGCGGGCAGACGGCGGGTATGCTGCCTCATCGCGCTGCGCTGTTTGTGGGATGCAAAATCTCCAAAGTGAGAAGTGTCGTTACAAAAGCTACAAATGTCAAAAGTGTGGGAAGAAGGGTCATCTAAAAAAAGTGTGCAACAAACCTAAGAAAATGTGTATATCTTGTCAATTCGCACACCGAATCTGAACAAAATGAGGAATCTGAACAATATGTGACTGACAGGCCAATTCAAATTAATTTAAAATTAAGCTGCAAAAGTATGTCAATGGAGCTTGATTCAGGTTCTAGTAAATGTGTCATATCAGATGAAATGTATAAAGACTTCTTCTCTGAGTATCCGCTTCAACGCAGTTGTATAAAAAGTTGTTTATACGATGGGCATAAAATAACGCCTATGGGATACTTTACGGTGGAAGCTAGCTATAATAATATTAAAAAGCTAATTAAAATTTTTGTTGTTAAAAATGCAGGCCCACCAATATTGGGTAGGGATTTTATGTGTGCATTCAACTTAATCATTGCGACTAAAAATAATTTTATAAGTAGTGATAGTTCAGAATTACAGGAATTGTTAAATAAATATTCAAATTTATGGTGAGATGAATTGGGGACGTTTAATAAATTTAAAGTCAGCTTGCAATTAAAAGATAACTCCGTTCCAAAATTTTTTAAGCCACGTATAGTACCTTTTGCTCTCAGAGATAAAGTCGAACAAGAAATAAACCGTTTAGTTAGATTAGGGATCCTTGTACCTGTCAATTATTCTAAATATGCCATCCCTATAGTGCCCGTATTAAAAGAGAACGGCCAAGTTAAAATTGCTGGTGATTTATCTGTCACATTAAATAGGGACCTCACAATTGAAAAATATCCACTGCCGCGAATCGAAGAGGCGTTTGCTAAAATTGGAGGGGGCGAGCGATATAGCAAAATTGACTTGAAAAACGCATATAATCAATTTCTTTTAGATGAACAATCACAAGAGCTTACAACAATTAACACACATAAAGGCTTTTTTAAATATACTAGGTTAGTTTTTACGGTTTAGCTAACGCGCCAGCTATATTCCAAAAGAGCATGGAAACCCTTCTTTCAGGGATAGACGGAGTAAGCATATGGCTCGATGATATCTGTATTACAGGCCCCGACAATAATTCGCATTTCAAAAGATTAAGTGAAGTTTTAGGTAGGCTGGATGAGGCGGGGTTGTGCCTACAAAGGGACAAGTGTGAGTTTTTTAGGGCCTAAGAACGTGCCTTGATAAAGTAAAAGCGATTATTAGAGCGCCGGAACCCACTAACATAACTGAAGTTAAAAGATTCTTAGGAGTAGTTAATTATTACAGAAATTTTATTCCAAACGCGTCGTCGTTATTAAGTCCCTTACACGATTACTACGTAAAAATGCAACATGGGAATGGGGCGAGCGACAGCGGCGCAGTATTGCTAGGGTGCGACGCGAATTGGCGTCAGAACGTGTACTAGCTCATTTCGAACCTGGGGCGCAGCTAGTACTGGCCGTGGACGCTGGGCCAACTGGCCTGGGAGCCGTGCTCTCGCAGCGAGCGCACGACGGCTCCAAACGTCCTCTGGCATATGCATCTCGTTCACTAACGGTTAGCGAACGAAATTATAGCCAAATACAAAAAGAAGCGACGGCTATTATCTTTGGAGTGAAACATTTCCATCAGTATTTATACGGGTGTGAAAATCCATTTATTTTAAAAACCGATCATAGACCCCTAGTGTCTATTTTTAATAATAAAGTAGGTATTCCGGTAACGACAGCATTAAGACTACAGAGATATGCTATTATATTATCCGCTTATAACTATGTAGTGCAGTACACGTCCAGCGAAAACAACGTAGTCGCCGATTATTTTTCACGCGCGCCGTTAGAATGTAGTAACATCAATACGGAGTCGTCGGACGATGTAAACAACGATACTATAGATAGTTATTATGCGGTTAAGTTTCTCGATGAGTCATCGCCGGCGATCTCTGTAAGCGACATTGTACAGGTGACTGAACGAGACAAAACAATTAACACCGTCATTAAGTATATGAAATATGGTTGGCCGCGTAAATTAAATTGCAAATCAATTTTATTATATTTCTATTGTAAAACCGATTTACAATTAGAAAATGGTTGCCTATTTAGGGGGCACAGAATAGTTATACCATCGGCTTTGAAAGAGAAAATGTTACGTGAACTGCATGATTCACATTTAGGCATTATAAAAACAAAAAGTAATGCTAGAAGTAGAATGTGGTGGCCTAATATCGACCGTGACATCGAACGGTGGATCGGCTCGTGTACGACGTGCGCAAGCGTGCGTACGGCGCCGCCACGGGACCCCCCCGCACCCTGGCCCGCTGGCCCGTGGCAGCGCGTACATATCGACTATATGACTGTAGGGCAAAAGGTGTACCTAGTTATTGTAGATTCTTTTAGCAAATGGTTAGATTGTCTGTACATGCAAAGCGGAACTTCGACACAAGCCTTAATCGGTAAATTAAAATTATTTTTTTCTAATTTTGGAATACCAAATACGTTAGTGTTAGACAATGATGTAAAAATTAACTCTTTAGAATTTAAGACATTCTGTTCTTCTAATGGAATTAAATTTATAACGTCACCCATATATCATCCACCCAGTAACGGTCAAGCTGAGAACTCTGTAAGAACTTGTAAAAAAATGTTAAAATGTATAATTAAAGATAATTTACCGCACCAACAAATGCATGAAATATTATTAGGTTATCTGTTTAATTATAGGAATACTGTGCATTGTACCACTGGCGTAACGCCGGCTAAATTAATGTTCGGCAGAAATTTACGATGTCGTCTTGACTTAGTTTTACCTACATCAGCGAATCGCAGTTATTTGTCGACACCCGCGAAAAGACATTTTAACATTGGTGATACTGTTTGGACCCGATGGTACACTGCACGCAAGGAAACTTGGCAATTGGGTAGTATAAGTAATAAAATAGGGAACAAAATGTACCAAATTTTAATCCATAGCTTAGGTGTTTCTTGCATAAGGCATGTTGATCAAATTCTAAAATATACAGGCCAAGATGTCAGCTGTAATGACGTAGCTCACAGAACACACACAAGTGCATATTGTGCTCCTCCCAACACCAACACAAGTTTCTCCACCACAAAATACCGAAACCAATGTTGTTACAACCAACACTCAATAAAATATCGAACCATCAATAGACCTGCAGCCTACACTTTGCCCAAATGTTGAAAATAGGGTTGATATTGCCATTGGGGATGCACTAGGTCATAGCGAGGGCGCAGAGTGTAGTCGCAATAACACGGGCGTAATGTCCGCGCCGCTAACAGTCGGTGACGACATTGGGAGTAGCGAATTACCTACTAGGGCATCGTCACTTGCTAGTACACGACAGTTGCGGCCAAGGAAAAAAGTAGATTATAAGAAGTATTTTTAAGATCAATATGATGTATATAATTATGTATTAGTTTTAAGATAATTATTGTTTAAATGATTGTCGATTGTAAGTAAAATGTCATGTTTTTTTTTTACCAGATTTCAAAGATTAAGTGTGGAGGAGTGATGTGTACGCACCCACTGTGGGCAGTAATAAACGAGTGCTCTTACGCAACGGTTGTTTCTTTCCAAGTCTATACATATCAAAAACACACGAAATAAGAAATTAAAAAAAGTTACCATCAGCAAACATTGGGGTTATAGATGAAAAATAATAGCAATTGAGTTATTTTATACCGTATACAATATAATAAACAGCGATAAACTAGACGTATACAGTATTCGTCTAGTTTATCGCTATGTTTATTGAGCAGCTTGCCAATTCTAAGAATTGGCGGGTTGGAATGCTTAGGATTTCAATTGATTTAATCAGACAAATCGAAAATATTTCACATGAAAATGTTTCTGTTTCATTGAAATAAACACCTTTACATGCTAAACGACTTATGACCAAACAACAAATATTATGGACAATATAAGTTCAGGACTTACTCAAAGAGCAAAATCACATAATTTAAATTATAAAAAATAGCTTGTACCAGAGTTCCCCTAAGTATTGCGAAATTAAAAACGAGCAATGATAAAAATGAGTTCCAAATTTAAAAAAAAAACAATGTAAATCTTTGCATTTGAACGCGATTATAGATGATCTATTCATTTATTTTATTGCATTAAATGGTCGCTATCGTATCAATGACGTACGTTTTATATTTAAAGTTACAACTCTACGAAATACTTTTTTTATCTTTATCCTCATTAAGTATGTCAACAGTAAAACCTATACTTGATCTTGATGTTTAAGTTCAATAAATGCGCCGCGAAATTACCTTAATTACCCAAATTATTTTCGTTTGTCCCATTGAAGAAACATCTAGGGGAACCCCGGCTTAAGGGTGTACTGGCAGAAGATTAACTCACTTGGAAACTTGTGCATGTAATGGACCTGGAGAACTAAGTACTTAATCGGGGACTTCCCACCAACAAGGAATCCAACGTCTTTCGGCAGGGTGAGGCTTGGAGCATCGCGTGCCCATGCGTACACGATCTACAGTTTATACGAAAGCAATGAGTTCCGTATAAATAAATAATAAATAAATATTTCATGAATAATTTTTACACAACGTTATCTTTTTTTTTTAAGTGAAAAGTTATCAAGCGAGCAGGCGGTTCACCTGATGTTAAGTGAATACCGCCCCCATGGACATCTGCTACACCTCACTCACCAGACGAAACGCGAAAGTATTATACTTCCACTTGACGCCAGTCTTCTGTGAGGTCTGCCGCTTCTGTGAGGTTGGTTGTGTCGGATATGATGGTGATGATGATGAAATCTCATGATACACTTTCAATTTATACTTGAGTGTCCTTACAAAATCATTATTTATAACATGTCAAATTGGTATGGATGAGTTACTCAACTGGCATTATAACACTTTACTTATTTAGGTAATTTAGATAATATCTTTTATACAATATCTAAAATTCAAACCAAATCCAATTGTTAACAAAATAGCATTTGGAATAAGTAATACAATATAAATTTGACATACGAAACTAACATAAAATACAAAAAGTAAATGCAACGTTACAAAGCGCAGATCTCGGTTAGGTACAATTGAAAGGCAATTAACCGTTTACGATACAGCGCTTCGAACTTAAGACCGCAGAATGGAAAGCTAATAAAGGTACACTAGGAGGGGAATTAGCAGACCTGGGATCCAGAGCGGCAAGGATTGGCAGATGGGTAGACGCGATCCTGGTCATTGTTTTGCATTTCACCACAGCTCCTAAAGGGGAATAAAAACTTTATTATAAAAAACTTTTTACGGATTTAAAAATAGATCGCAAAATATGTTCCTTTATTTAAGAGTTTAGAGTATTCGCGTAAATCATTATAAGAAAAAAATACAGTGACAACAATAGATAATGCTAGAAAATATAGTCAAAGTTAGTATGGTTGAACAATTCAATTAAGCATTAAAATCACCTTTGTCAAAGCACTTAACATTTAGTTATATAAGAGTCTCATTAACAAGTCTCTTATACGTGAAGTCGAAATTGAACAAATTTAATGATGGTCAGGTCCTAATTGGAGAGTTTCAGTGAGGCCGTAAGTAATAACGACGTGATTGTTGAACTTAGATTCATTTTATTTAAATAAGTCGCTATTGCGGATAATATCACTTTATTACATAAACGCTTTTTACTAAACGTCTTCAATTCGGATGCTTAAATCTTTTTTTATTAGTATTCGGGCATAACTCTGTTATATATAGAGGGACTTGCAAAATTCTCTTTTTGTTCGAAAGGGTTTTATTCCAAAATGGTTCCATTTTTTTTTATGTGAAAGTTGCCAAACGAGCAGACGGTTCACCTGATGTTAAGTGAATACTGCCGCCCATGGATACCTGCTACACACGAGGGTTCCAAATGTGGCCACCACACTCACCAGACGAAACGCGAAAGTGTTATACTTCCACTTTACGCCGGTCTTCTGTGAGGTCGTGGTACTTACCCAGACGAGCCTGCCCATTGATGCAAAAGCCGAGGCTGCTGCGTGGCCCTACCACCAAAAAATCTGATGATGAGTTTCGGAGATAGACAACGGAACTCTTCAAAAAATGACAGCATATCAACCGCGATTGCATTGCATTGTTTTGCTTTACTCGAAATGGTTAAGGAGAGGTATTTAGTATAGCAGAAAACGGGAAAAAATTCTTATAAATCATACGCTGTTTTCGCGTTCTCAGCTATCATTTGAGCATTTTAAGCGTCTGACAGTGGGATAAATGCGAACTGCAACTCTCGGCAAAATCTACCCACAGTATTCCTTGGCATTCGCAAAGCAATTAAAGTTGAGCCGTTGTCAATTCGCCAACGCGATTAGTAATATTTGTAAATAAACCAATTGCCAAACAAATGCGAATTAAACTAAGCCGATTATTGTAATATTCTTGATTTTCGTCATTTAACCTACGAAATATATAGGATCTTTTTTTTAATCTATTTTCGTGCTGCTCAGACCTATAATTTGAAATGCTTAGAGAAGTTCTTCATTATTTGTTTACCTTTTTTCAGTCCCGGTTTCATTTTAACGCCGTTTTCTCATACGAGCAACGTCTTTGCTAGGTCTACCAATATTTTATAATACCTAAGTATTCAAATTAATTCAGTAAAAAATAAATAAAAAGGGTTTAACAAATAAAGAACCAACTTAAAAAAACTCTATTAGCTCTAAAAACTAAATCAAATATAATCAAATCTTGAAAATCTAATCTATATAATAGGTTATATAGGTTTCGTTTAGTATTCATTGTTTCTTAGCTTCTTGCTATGAGCTTTCTTTAGCAAGGTGTTATGGTGTACAACTATTACCCAAAGATTGTTAAATTTTGTTAGAGGTTAGGTAGGTTAGGACCTATCTGGTCTGATAAAAACATTGTTTTTATGTTCAGATCAGATATATCCGCTTTAGAGATTAGGTAGGTTAGGTTATATGTTCAAGATTTGATTATTATTATTATTATTTTAAACTTCAAAGTGCTGATAGAGTTTTTTCAAGTTGGTTCTTTTTTGTTAAAAAAACTTTTATAACATAAATTTTAAAATTCAAAATTCTTTTAAAATTTACATCATAAATTTTGCTGATTTAAAAATTTTACAACACGGTTATTTCTTTGACGGACATGTATGACTCTACCGTAGTATTTTTTTGTTAAAACCATTCATCATTCATTGATTAATTGGTAATGGGTGGATAGAGGTAATGGGTGGATAGAAATAATTACAAGTGCTGTGTTCGTCAAATTCAAATTCAAATCAAGGAATTTAAATATATCGTGACTGATGAAGGACAGTGGGTGTACCTGGCATAAACAAGAGAATGAAAATTCCAACAAAATTATAAACTAGAAGAAGCTCATGTGGCAAACAGGCAGAACATGAATATCACATTTAGAGTTGACGTGGCTCACAAGACACAACATTGCCTATTTTTTTTAGAATAATAATCCTTTATTTTCTCACCGCAGTATGTATTATTGTATCACAATAGTATTTCAAAAGATGGATGTACAAGTTATATATATTTTATTTATTATATAATACAAAATTATATTTTATGAACAACAAGATGACCTGCCCAGCTATATATGAGTAGGTACACCAATGTGTGTGGCACATGTAATATACATGCTTTATTTTAGTAATTATAATATAATTATAATTGTTCTGTTACCAAAGTATGGCCAAAATGCGTCTTTATTTAAGGGCTTACTACCGTCAAATGTGTCGGATTCACTACATTTTCATCTACTACTGATTTAAAAATGTCGAAATTCCTAAGCATATTTCTATTGCATAAAAAAAACTCCGATATTTATAATTGAGGATATACTAGAACGCGCTTTATATTACACAAACTGACAGCTTAACTAAATAGAAGGCGATCCAATTTACTTAGCGAAAAACTAAGTACTTAGGTCGTGCAAACTTGTAATTACACATAAATTTGCTCTATCGAGGGACATTTTCAAAAGACACAAACATACTACGAAAATATCTTCTATTTTAATATAACGCCACCGCGTCCTAGTTAACCTGTAGGTAACCGGGAGCTCCAATCTAGATACAGAGTTCTATTAATAGCCTGCGCCGATCAATAGCTGTGGGAGCGAATGGGGGATCGGAAGATAAACTGCGTCACAGACTTGCAACAGAGCTATCCCATCGATCCGTTGTTCGAAATGTGCACGCCCACGCGATTCGCACAACTTACATATGGAAAAGTGATATTTCACAACAATTCGCCATCACATACTACGAGTAGCTGTTTGTTTTATAGATGGCCAGAGGTTGGAAAACATTGCCGACCTATATTAGTCCGTAGTGTAAAATCGGAGTTGTACAAGTAGTCTTATGTTAAACCCGAAACGGAGTAAGCAGGGATAGTTTATTGTAATGTTCTTATAAAGTGCCAAAAACTACTATTACTTAGCCTGTCGCCGAAAACATGTATAAAAGTGTTCTAATCCTTAACCTAATCTCAAGACCAACGTCTCAGCCGCTAGAATGTCGGCTGGTTTTTTGTTGACATCGATACTTCGATGGATTAATTTAGCATCATAAGGTTTCTTTATCGAGAAAGTTAAGCAGTACGATTAATAAAAACACACACAAACAAAACAACACATCTTTATTGACCGGCTCATCGCAACTTCTCCTGGGAATCCAATACAAAACGTGGTACCTGTTTTGAAAGAAAATAATTACCCGAAAATACTCGTTCACCTCGTTCCTAAATTTATTCAAACATTTGTTGAACACATAATTTTGTGTTCAAAATTATTTTTTTGAGATGCAAATATTGAATAAGTTTTGTATTAAAAGGTAAAAACACTATGATGCATTAACAACACCATTGAAAACGAAAAATGTTTTATTACAGGAAAAAAATAAAACAGTTATTGTGACAAATTAAAATAACACAAATGCAAACGATTTTTCTGACGACGGATAATGGTGTCAATTAGTTTCATAACTAGGCAAACATGTACCAAACTGAGATACGAAATTACATAATGATACGAATACAATATAATACATTGTGTAATTAGATGCATTAACAACACCATTAAGTAGATCAGGGCTTAGTTAAAAAGTTAGGGAAATACAAGCGATTAAAAAATAACTTACCAAACGGAACCATTGGACCCAGGTGCTGCGCAACCGTAAATCAACATGTGGTGAGCTGTGTGCATCGAAGCTTTGGGTTCAAATCCAACTGAAAAAAGAACAACCCCTAATGACCATACACCCAGTTTTTAGAATTCCATTGTTTACAACTGATAAATTAAACTAGATCATGTTTGGGCATACAAAAATTGTCACTTGCAGTTTTTACGAATTTTCTGCGTTTAATTTATAATCGTCGTGATTTTTGGAAGAAAGATCAAATCGGTGCAGCCGCTCTCAAGCGATGCGTGTACCAACGAATAGCAATTAATTTTCATTTATATAGATTCCAGGTGAGTATAGGTGCCGGTATGGTAAATGTTTATACTTTATAACATAACATGTATGCATTTCAATAATATGTACACAGCTTTATACTTAAAATAATGTATGATCAACATTGTTCGCTCTGAGAACACAACGAACATTGTTCGGTATTATCGTTACGATTTTTGTTCCAAATTAAAATTATTAAAAATAAGCAAACAAACCTATGTTAAAGTTAGCTTTCGGCGAAATGCGTATCGGCGTACATAGGTACAGCTCATCCTGAAAGAAAAAATCGGCAATAATTAATAAGACGAATGTAACGACAAATATATATACAGATACAAAATAATGATAAATTTTTTATAGACCCTTTTTATAGTTTTATAGACATAGGATAAGTTCGTGTTTTCTCGATCCGAATAAAACCGAATTAGCGTCTCCATCTTTATTATTCTTCTGTCTTTGATTATATACTTTTCAAGCCAAGTATATAATCAAAGTTATGTATAACGTTACCACCGACATATGTGTTCATCACAGCAGAATAAACAAATACGGGTTATTTACGATATAAATGCATTGTTTTTTGAAAGTCAAGGACACATTTCTTAAAAAAAATTACATGCGGAAGGACCTAAAGTTTCTATAGCAAATAGCCACAAATACATATAACATAATTAGCACATAATTCTCTGGTCGCCAAAGTGTCTATGCAATGCTAAACTGTTAATGGACTGTGCACTAAAATCGAAACTGTAGCAGGTAAAACTGCCAGCAGTTTTCGACATGAAAGTCCGTGGAAACCTTATTTATCTACTCACTCCAATTATCCGAGACAGTTTATGAAAACTGTTATAACCAAACATATTATTTTGACATAACCATGTCAACACATTAGAGGTTGTTGATGATAAAGGTACAAACAAAATAAAGATTACAAACAAAACCTACGAAGTTATAAAGTAGGACTGATAATGTTTCTGCAAGGTTATTTCCCTTCTCCCATCGGCAAGGCTCTAATTAAACATCCTCATATTTAACACTCTATAGTAAGGTATCCAATTTTTATATTAATATTGGAATCCAATAGTGAAATTGGAAGCGTATAAACAAATGATTTTTAATGTAAAGCAATGAAAATTTTTATGCTTATAGCGAATTTAACTTTCGTAATTTAAATTACATTTCTCAAAATATATAGAACAAGGGCAGTTTATGAGCTATAAAATTTAACAGTTCGATAATTAGATGAACGCCTTCCTGTATAAACTTGACAGGAATTTTTATTTCATCTATTTCTTTAATTCATCTTGTTACAATAATGCTAGATGGATCTATTTGTATTCAATTTCAACTCAATTCAACACTTCTAATCAATAAAATATCCTTAGTAATTTTTTTTAATGTGAATTGTCATCATCACAGTAGTATGACAACAGTTTTAAGAAAGAAGAAGTAAGCTACTGGGTAATTAGTTTGCCAATGTTAGACAATGATTCATTATAAGACATTGGATCAGAAATCTCCTTTGCACATGTCATAGGAATTATAAGCATTAGGTGATCAGAGTCTTAAAACCAATTGCATAAACATAATAGCCTATTTAATTATAAATATGGAGTAGCTGAAAGTACAATTGTATGCAATATAGTATGGATATGTAGTTATATTATCAGAAGAGATGAGGTTAGAGTAGTCTAGTTAAAGTGCATCAACCCAGAAGTGACCTATTTATGCTGACCTATAAAGCATTCGCAATATTTCTACTCTACTTATAACCCTATGCTATAAATGGTATAGGGTGTGGTATGCTGTTAAAGTGCATCAACCCAGAAGTGACCTATTTATACTGACCTATAAAGCATTCGCAATATTTCTGCTCTACTTTCAACCCTATGCCATAAATGGTATAGGGTGTGGCATTTATCTATAAACTTATTATAAGACAACAAAGCAGGAGTAAATATTTATATCAAATAATAAATAAATAATATTTTAGGACACATTTAAACACAACATTCTCTAGTCCCAAACTAAACAACACTTGTACTATGGGTACTAGATAACTGACAAACATACTTACATATACTTTTCTTTTGCAAATACATACATATTATACATACAAATATATATATTATATATAAGCCAGATACTACAAAAACACTATTTTCATCACTCAATACTATTTCAGTAGTGGGGATTGATCCACACCCTCTGGCGAAGGAGGCAGGTACACTACCCACTACGCCATTTGCATCTTCAATAGTATTCAATAGTTTAAACTTATAGAAAATAATTATTCGCCAGCAGTTTCCTCTTACATTTTCATGAGTGGAACAGAGAATTATAGTGTTATAAGACTTATCTTGTTATTTAATGTTTGTTCTAATGAGGCTTTAATTTCTTGTCTAATAAATAAGATTATTTTTCATGACAGAAGCAGGTTACAGAATAATCCACAGTTTTGTTTCATTGTAAAACAGCCAATGAGCAGGTGATTCCTTTGATGTTAATTCATTACTACCACCCTAGGACATCTGTGCTACACCTGTGGTGTTGTGGTGTTGCAGAGGCATTGTCTATTTTTATATCAGTTAAGCCAATTACCTCACAGTTCAATCGAAAAGTATACTTGTAACCAGTTATCTGTGGGACTGTGGTACTTCCCCTATACAATATATACACACATACTCATCAACCTGCAATAGCAGAAATTGCTGTATGACCATATAAACTATCTAAACACAGTAAAACTAATTAAAATAGACTAATATAAAATAATATAAAATACCATATATTAAATATTTTATATACATGTCATATAGTTCATGCTTATGGGTGAAGACAGTCAAAGAAGTATTATATTATTAGAATATAAAAAAAATAATACCTTATGAGGCCAGACGTTCGGCATCAGAAAATCATATGTGTCCACTTCATGAGCAAATGCGCTCGAAACAAAAAATATAATAGGAAAAATAATTCCCTTCATAATTAAAAAGAAAACTCACTGTAAAAATTATTTAAAGACTTATACGACGGTATTACGCGCTTAGTTAGAATAACAGATATTTTAATTATCAACGTTTACTTTTGGTAGCAAATTATATTAATATTTTCTGTGACCAATCACAGTACTGACCTACGTAATAGTGAAAAATTACTAAAGTAAAGTGACCTGACAAGTGATTTTATTACCTCGCCCGTTTGATCAATACTTTGATCAGTGTTACCAACTCTCGAAAATATTTTTCCCTAAAGCTTAAGGCAAAAACCGCAAAAATCCCCTAATAAAATAACATTATAAAAAAATGTAAGTAATACATAGCGCCAAGATTTTTTCATGATTTCCAAATGACTGGTATAAATACAGCGTTGGATATCGTAGCCAAATGTTGGTCTTATAAAAAGTGTTTAAAGAAAAGTTGTAGGGAATTTAATTTTGTAAAAAATTGTCTCTTTTACCACTATTTTGACCAACCAATATTTTTACCATTATTCTAAAAATGAGATTCATATTGAATGATAAAGAATTTTAATAACTTTTGGCGCTTTCTTTTAAATGTATCCTACGAATGCTTTTCGATGGATACTTTTTAATTCACAGAGAGAGTCCTCCTTATCTCTACTCTCTATATTTCAAATCCCCATGCTTAATAATGAGAAACATTACTAGAAGTCACTGAACCACTAGGTTAACAAATAAATATGGTAGGGTAGATTGCGTTACTTCAGGCCCTTTATTTTTCTTAATCAAAAAATAATAATAAATAAATGTTAGGAAATTAAAAAATAAAGGAAGTCAAAAAATCCCTAAAAATATAAAATCCCTAAAAATATCCCAACGCCTTTTTTCACACATTGATAAAGAAAAGTTGGCATTCTTGAATTGGATATGGTGTAATATAGGTCATACTCAGTGTGACCAGCATTATAGCAAATTTCAGGTACCAATATAAAAGAACTCTGTGGCACTCTGCTGGCGAGTTTTTAAGAATGGTAAAATTTTTGATATTACTTGAAATAAATTTTATTAGCGTGTATGGTTTAATTTGAACAAAGTAATCAAATGTGAAATTACGATTCTTTTGCTTATATCTAATTAATATAAATCTTGTTATGACATGTTGCTTAACTTTTGGAAATCAAACGTTGTGTATTCTAAAAGTGTTTCAAAAATTTATAAATACGTTAAAAACGTCAAAATAAGTTTTTTAATGCTCATAATAAATTCCAAACATTAATAAAATGACAGAATTGGTGTCTTATTTATCTACTTTTACAATTTGATTCAGATTGTGGACAAAAGATGTCTCTGCAACGTACCGTAAAGTTAAAATGTTCCAAAAGTTTTAAGGTTAAGTGACAGATGGCGTTAAACTTTAAAATAGATAATCTCAACTCGTCAAATATTGAACTCTATCTCTATCCATAAACTTGTTGATTTAGTTTTTCAAACAATCAGACACACACATTTTGATTACATTACAATCATACTTTTTGATTTTTAGATAAGTAAAACGGACTCCAATAATTGAAGCTACCTTAATCTCTAAAAAATAAGGTAAATTAAAAGTTAAATAAATATTGTACAGCACCGACTAGGGTTACAAGTCTAGATATTCGAGATGATTTATCTATCAATAAGAGATTAGACAAGCAATGAATAATCTTCTAGCAAACCCAAAGAGTACAAAATTAACTTTTCTTATTCTTTCTGTATTCTTTGGAAAAACCTTATACTTTAGGGTAAAAAGAAAATTTTAAATATTCTTTTTACTCTATATAGGAATCTCTCATAGGAAAATCTTTCATTTGTGACAAATATATAATCAAATAGGAAAATTACTTAGGAAGATACATATACAGCGTGACGTTACCATCGCCACAATAAATGAACACAGTCTGACGCTACTTGCCAATAATCATAAAAAATATTAACGTTAAATAAAATCCATAAAAAATTTTTTTTCAAACAAACTAATTAAGTAAAAAAGAAACAAAATTTGTAATATCCTATACAACTCGCGCCACAGCGTCGTATTACAAGCCTCTCCTAACAGTATGTTTTGTCTCTTTTAAATTCATTCAACCCATTCATGTGCTTTGTGACCTTTATAAATGAACTTTACGTTACGCTTTTATAGGTAAGGATGTTCTAAAATTCTTTGTTTTGGAGAATTTAATAACTGTGTAAATATTGATGTTTAAAGAATTTAAATGTTTAATCAACTTTAAAAAGTTATCCCCCATATTTGTGTTCATTTATTGTCGCGATGGTAACGACACGCTGTATAAGAGTGGCCGAATATTCGGTTTTAATGTCGGCCACAAATGGTTATTTACATTTGTGTATACGTAAGAACTGTACATACAAAAAAAGATAGGTACTTATATTTTTATAATGTAAGTAACGTAAGTATATAAGTAATGTAAGAATACAATCTTTAAATTTAGTAAATACTAGCTGACCCGGCAAACGTTGTTTTGCCGGGTCAGCTAGGTTAATTATTTCTAAGGAATTAGTGAATCTGAAAATATAGAAAAAGAATTTACGGAACGCATGCATAAAATGTTTGACAGGTAGGAACAGTTTGTATGGGAAAATAAAATTGTTGCTATTTCGATATTCCATCCAATTTTTTCATAATTTCGAATCGTTTAAACCTTCCCTGGACTGCCACAAATATTTCAAAACATAAATTAGCCAACTTGGTCCAGCTGTTCTCGAGTTTTAGCGAGACTAACGAACAGCAATTCATTTTTATATATATAAGACAGATAACAATGTATCTCTATGTATTTTATACGGTGGTAGGGCCACGCAGCAGTCTCGGCTGTTGCACGAATGGGCAGGCCCGTCCGGGTAAGTACCACGACTTCACAGAAGACCAGCGTAAAGTGACAAATACTTTCGCGTTTCGTCTCACCAGACGTTCACGGCACTCAGCAGTGAGGTAGTCGGAGCCCAATTTTCAAAAGGTTGTCAACGCATCTGTAACCCTCGGGTGTAGCAGATGTCCATCGGCGGCGGTATTCACTTACCATCAGGTGAACCGTCTGCTCGTTTGGCAACTTTTCACATAAAATAAATAAATAAATAAAGTCTAACCTTCTCGAGTACAGTGGCTATCTATACGCTACCGACGCTCTTTAAGAGCACTGACGTTATCCTCTTCTTAACTCTCCTTCTACCCTATCTTATTTATCTCGTATACTAAATCGTAATCGTAATTGTCTTTTACTTAGTCTCCAACACTTCTGGCTTCTTGCATTCTTCTTTCTTTATTCCGCTCATTCTACTGTGGAATTCATTACTTATTGAAATCAAGCTCGTAGAATGTACGACGGACCAGACAATGGACCACATGCTCACGTGCAGAACATCGCACACTTATGCGCCCGTCCTCGTGACGGACACCCACTCCAATGACAGCTACTGCAGTTGGACCAGGTGAATAGAGCCAGTAAGGTCTATGGCCCTGTATGGTGCTCCCGTCTGGGCCGACACCCTGAATCGCCGGACCATGATGCGCAGACCGTAGAGGGTGTTGGCTGTACGGGGGATACGGGGATACCGGACGATATCCGGTGAGGCGGCGTGCGCGCTGGCAGGTTCCCTTCCCTGGGATCTAGAAGCCAGTATTCTCGCGTCACTGCACTTCTGGCGCGAGGAGGCGATAGCTCGGGGCCACCTGCCGGCCCCTAGACGAGTTGAGGGGGTGTAGACTAAGGTTGCGCTCACTCGCTATCGCCGAGTGGGAGCAAAGGCTGGAGCACCCCAGTGCTGGCCTAAGAACCATAGAGGCCATACGTCCGGTACTCAGTCGGTGGCTGGACAGGCGTCACGGCACCCTTACCTACCGGGTGACGCAGGTTCTCTCGGGATATGGCTGTTTCGGGAAGTACCTGTGCCGCTTGGCGGGGAGGGAGCCAACAGCGGTTTGCCACCACTGCGACGTATGTTCCGAGGAGACCGCCCAACACGCACTGGAGGAGTGCCCAGCCTGGCGGGAGCAGCGCCGAGAGGTGACAGCTATCGTGGGGCACGATCTCTCGTTGCCTGCCGTGGTTCGCGCTATGGTGGACAGCGAGAGGTCGTGGGGTGCCGTCCTTGCATCTCCGAGGACATAATCACCCGGAAGGAGGCTGCGGAGAGGGAAAGGGAGGTAACTGCCACCCTGGAAATCCGCCGCCGGAGACCAGGGCGCAGGAGGCTGGCCTACGCGCGCAACCTTCCCCCCTGATAGCAAGCCCCGGGGCGGCAGATGTGGGAATAAATGCTGCCCCGCTTGGCTTGGCCCCCGGGGGGCTTGAGAGGGGTGCCGTGTTCATTGCACCATTTGGCTGAACCGGGTGTCCCTAACACCCGGGGAGATTGCGTTTTCGTGTTCCCGTTTCCCCGGCAAAGCGATAGCGCAGGTGCAACGTGGGTTTTTTAGTGGGTACGTATTAACTCCCACATACCCCTGCTGCTTACCCACAAGGCGGCGGGGGATCCATAAAGGATTTTTCCCACGTAAAAAAAAAAGGTGAACAGAGCCAGCTGTTGCGCCGTGTTGAAGACGATGTCGCATTTCTGTTACACCTTAAGTGCAGCATCGTATACACACAGCGCCACATCACTGCCATGATCGGCGATAAGGTTGGCCGCATAGACGAGTTCGTCTTCCACATCGTCCAACAGTCTTGAGTTCCACAACAGACCTGCCTTCTGATTGTTAAACTGGTCGTTAGGGCGAACCTCACCACATGCGTGTCTTTTGCTTGTCAAGCTTTTGGCGGAGCACTGGGGAATAGGACCCCGGTACTTGATGCCGTAAATCTTTGTGACAGCTGCAGTACATCGATCGATGGTGGGCAAGAGTCGCTGTTCTTCTAAAAGTAAAGCTCGTTTGCCCTTTAACAGCGGAATCAGTTCGATTAATATCAGTTCTTGTATATAATAACAATAACGTGTATATAATAATAACGTTATCGTACACATTCTTGTATATAATAACACGTTATCGTACACATTCTATCTGTTCACAAACGTAATTTCTCTTCACACCCTTTTTATTTTGTAAATCTGATTTCGTATAAATCATGAAAAAAGGTTTTTTTTTTAAATCTTTTAGCTACATATTTCAGATTTTAGTATTTGTCTGATTAATTATTTTATCAAAGAAGTTCTACTGTTGTAATGATACTATGTCTAGATTGTAAGAGCGCAAGGAAATAAACTTAAAAATTTGGTTTTGCAGTTTACAGAAAACACAATCGATTTTTAATTTTAGTGGTCTTAAAAATTTTGCCTTCACAAATTCTGTCTGTGAATAAAGTAATACCTTGTTTAAGTTCCTTTCCTAATTTCAAAACTCAATATTAACCTTGTTATTTGGAACTATTGTCGCTACAAAAGGTATAAAGAAAGTAACTAATATGAATGAAAAGTTTAAAGTTAGTTTAAAGCGAATGAGGTTAAAATGGTCCGTAAATTGAAATAAATAGTTCTTCTTATACACACCAAATGGAAGTACCATGTAGCAGTAATGTTATATGTCAAGTCTCAAAACTACTTACATCGTTCCCCTCTTTGAAAAATTCGATTTCGTTTATCACAATAAATTGACGCAAATCACAATAGATTCACGCAAACGCGCGCTAAGTAAGGATGCAGTGAAAAAAGTTACGAAAATATTGGCTTTGCGTAATATCTCTACATTTTCTGTGATTTTGGCATTGTTTTCAGGTTCTAATATTTGTTTTAAAACTTATCTTATGGTTGAAAGGGATTCAATTATTTTTATGAATATATAAACTTAATCGGTCACATGCGAAAATGATAAATCTTAACGCGGGCTAGTTTTGTTCCATCTCATTTCAAAGTTCTAACAATCACCGACAAGTGAAATCGTTTACGATTAACACCGAGGTTCTAATCTTACAGGCCCACAGGGTATGCAGTGCTTTTTCATGCGGTCCGGGATATCTTGTACCGGTGACCGGAATGTATGAACACGCTTCAGGAAACGATATATACAAGACCACCAAGGGGTGAAGCAGAGATAAAATGTATAAAGAAACCGTCGAAGTCGTAGAATTACAGTTGTGGATGCAACATTCAACTGTCTTAACCGCTAAACAAAGCGTTCATCCAATAAAAAACGCGTAGGAGATGGAAATCAATTACTGGAAGAAAAATTACATATTTTTTCCTCCACGAATGCCTTAACAACTTCAAAGTGAAGTGAATACAATAAAGGGAAGAAGCAATATGTATTTAGGGGCCGATGTTATATTGCACCCCGGGGTTGTATCACAAATTGACGTTTTATTGACGCGCAATAAATATTCCATTCAGTGGAAATCATGGGGCCAAATTGTAACGTTCGACGCTCTTTCGACTGTGAAAGTTGAAGGAATCGGTTTCAGCCGAGTATGGGTTATTATTTTAAAGTTCAACCGGTTGGTAGCGTGTGATATTATTCTATATGCATTTTTTTTGTCTACCGTATCGTATATCAAGTTTTTATGTATATTTGTGCGTTGATCGTTACTATAGGTACTTACGTACTGGACGATCGTTACTTTCGTTACGATTATTACTATATTAATTTATTACCTTTTTGAATTTAGAACAAAATCATAAAAACGTAAATTTTCAGTAGGTTTGTCTCCATGGAGTGGACATAGAAAGATCAAATCGGAAAATTTTTCAGCAGCCGTTTTCTAATACTTATTTGTAATTGTTTACCTTTGGTCAAAAACTAAATATTTTAGATGTAAGCAAAGTAAAATATGAATATCGTCGTCTTATATTTCGCAGGCAGATCTATAAACGACTAAAGGTGATGAGGTGTCGAGACTTTACAATTATCTAATGTTTGTTACATTTTCAATAACATTGAATTAGGTATGTTATCTTATCACTTTTCACGCGACATCATACAAAATTCTTAAATCAGATTAAAGAACTATTGGAGATGGTAGTAGAAAAATTATTTAGCCTCTTATCTCAAGGAACAGATATGACGAAAATAAGGTAATTCATTTAATCTCAGTAGTTCAGCCTCCGGTGATGTGACAGGATCAATTTCCCGGAGCAAGATGCCATAAGGAAGGTTAAAATACGGAATCGTATTGTTTTTACGATATGGACCACTACGAACGCGCTTTAGGATGATAACGGAATTAACGAGTAAATAAAACAGACGTGACAATCTTCATTGATTACCCATTTTATTTCACGTCTGAATAATTAAAAGTTGCCTCGAAGAAATTACCTTTAGTAATAAGGCCGCCCATTCGTACCCATCATTTATACATTAATTTTTGTGTTCTTGTTTATTTTACTTTGGTGTGCAATAAAGAATATTCCTTCATTCATTCTTCTTTCGCTATGGCTGTTCAAAATGGCCGGAAACGAAAGTTTTTAAAGTTTAAATTAAGTTTTTCTTTATATTTTTGTAGTAGTACGAGTATTGTGCATACATCTTTGGGCTTCACGTAAGTTAAAGGGTTAACTTGTACTATGAATAGAATAAATATGAAAGGAAACACGTTGGCAAAACATAGGTAATATAATGCTTAATTATTTTCCGTGTGTGGTCTAGCCATTATTCAATCTTTATGATATGGTGTGGTAATTTATGAAAGAGATCATATGTTATTGATCTTATTAATTATTTTCAATTAGTAAATAACCAGGTTAGAATAAATGTTTTAGTATTTCACTATTAAATAGAACTTAAGGGTTGAGGTAAATTTATTCGCAGACACAATGTAAGCCTCTGTATGCATCTGCGGTGTTCCTAGTCTTTGGCATAATTCCGTTAACAAACAAATCACGTGCGAGCCAATGTATCGGGGCATATGTCAAGGTGCCCGTATCAGGATCACGTACGCACTTTGACTGGGATTTACGTGTTAGCTTATTGGGTTTGTAGGTGAAAGGGCAGGGGATAATTCGTATTGCGGTGTCTTCTCATTCCTCCGTATGGGCTTTCGCGCACGTGATGCCCGTTTTATAATCAAACGACCTGTATTGTTCACAGTCATTAAATATCGACAATAATTTACGACTGAACTCTTAAATATATTTAAAAAAGTAATGTATATCAGGTAAGCTTAATTAACCTAAATTGCCGGCAATGTTTCCGCTATTCCACTGGTAGTACCAATGTCCACTGGTGCTACTGACCAGTTACCATCTTGTTGGCCACCTGATTTATTTACTCTCATTCCCTACTACGCAAGCTGCAGTCATGTAAGTACTTTTCTTGTATGATATGCACAAAATGTAAAGTTAGGTTTTTGTCTTAATAGAAACGCGAATGCCGAATTTTTCTTCAAAAATTAATGTTTTTCCACAAAAATTTGAGATAATGAGTAATAATCGGAGGCTGTAGGACAAGAAACGAATTTCGATTTATCAGGGTATTGGCCAGTCTCGTCGTAACTCGATTACTCAAGCTGAGGGGCAGTCGCGTCCTTTTGTGACAACCCTAAATGCGGTTGCGCTCCCGCCTAACAAGTGAGGCAATTACAGCAATTACCTTCAAAGGGTGAGGTATGGGGACCCCGACGATTGACCAGCGTACGGAACCGCGTTGTTTGGGCTTGTTCTACTTATGCCCGGTCGATCAAAGTACCCGCTTGTAGATTGGTGCGAGGATACGTGATACAGGATTATTTTTTTTTTTTAAAAAAACACTGCCCTTACTTTAGGATAATGTTATCCTGTGTTGTAAAGGACGTTTTACAAACATAAATTTCACGCGGACAAACACCCAGATGCGATACAACTATCTGTGGGTCACACAAATAGTTGTCCCGTGTGGGAATCGAACCCACGACCCCCGACGCCGAAGCCAATAACTTGGCAACTGCGCCACGGAGTCATCATTATAACTATTCACGTCGAAATTAAAAACGAAGATGTTATTTCTTGTTTTTTTTTTTTAGTAGTCCGCACGTTAACCAAAGCAGTCATTGCCGGGCCGAAAAGAGTGTCTCTACCCTACGAAGCGTAGTCAACGATTCTAAGAATGTGTGTCTAAATATAAAATGGTGAAACAAAGCCAAGTTGTCATTAAACACCTCTAATCTTGATTTGGGACAGTCAAGATTAAAGGTTGGTCAATGACAAGCGTTTATGTTGGCCGTTGAACTGTTGTGAATTCGTTAAACCATTTCGAGTTATCCATGTTTTGCTTTCGATTACGGCCGTAGTTTTGTTTACAGAAGCATATAAATGTATGCAATAATAATAAAAAATGTTTTAGGATGCATTTTACTACTTTAAGTTATAAACATACTTTTCTTTTGTAAATAAATACATATTATACATATATAAACACACACACAGATACATAAAAATACTATGTTCATCACACATTATTTTTCCGGTTGCATCAGTCATAATCTGGGGATCGAACCCACAACCTATGGCGTAAGAGGCAGGTACACTACCCATTACGCCGTTCGGATCGTCACAATCACAAATGTCGTAGGATCGGAGTTAAAATTTCCGGCTACAATCAGTAGGAAACGGCAAATTAGAGCCGAGATTATTAATGCTGTGGTAATTTACTCGGTTTTTCGCTCGGCACCAACTCACATACTTGATACGCCTGTCATAGACGCGTGTAATTTCCATCAGGCGGGCGTCGGCATAAATTTATTCAACATAAATTACAACAAGTTCGAGCCAATTACGCGCCTAAGTTTGTTCCGCGGGCTAATTAAGATGCGGAGAGCTGCCGCCCGCGTTATGAGAGGCTGTAAACGCGTTTCCTTTGCCTCGTGACGTTGATGTGGATTTACTGGTACACCGACGCCGGATTGCTTTGTGCGTGTCGCTGAGAATCGTGTCAGTACGAAGTTACACCACCGCCACTACGATAATGCCGCGTTATTTAAATTTACCTTGAAACACAAGAGTCACATTAATGAAGCCTTTCTGCGTGTAATCTCTTTGCTACTACCGGCATTTAGTGCAAGTAAACATTGTTAATTTCCTGAATTCTATATTTGTAAATGTAATAAAAATTGTATAATGTTTATCCGTTTATTAAAAATTACTATACAATTTTGTGAATGTCGGCATAGTGCTACTTATAATTATGTAATTTTGTGTCTGACTGTCTACGACTGACTTTGGGCCATCTCCGAGATTTTCGGGAGTTTGGCCAAGATTACCATAAAATTTATACAGAAGCTCCCGCATACGGGCAAAAGTCACGGCACATATTGCTGCCTATCTGACACATCCGCGATACAATTGTTGTTTGCCCATAAAATACCTTTTATAATACCTCAAGTACAGTCTTAACAATACCCAAAAACTCAGTCTGGGGTAACGAAAGAGTCATCATGTATTTAATCCTATCAATAAATTTCTTTAATTCTAATGAATAGATATTTATTACTCTCACTCACTCACTTCAGCCTGTTTAAGTCCACTGCCGAACATAGGCCTCCGCCACAGACTGCCACAAAGCACGATCCTGAGCCACCTGCATCCGTCGACTACCCGCACCCTTGCACAGATCGTCACTCCATCTATTCATCACCACTTAGCGCTATTTCTATTTCATTTGGATTATTTATGCCCAAAATTTGTCTAAAGGAGAACTTGTCATCGAAAAAATGGTTCAAATATGTGAACTGTCGCCCGTTAAAACTTTGTAAAATGGGAGATTTATGCATGCACTATTGGAATTCGAATTTGAGATTCCGGGCTAACGTCGCCAGCAAGCTGAAGCACCTTTAATTCTTCAAATTTCACTGAATTCCTAGCAGTTTAATTTCGGCAAAAAGTATGAAGTCCGTAACAAGTCTGATAGAAATAATTCCACCTATTTCCGAGGGCTGTAAAGTTCCAATCTTCGACTTTTGGCCTAAGTTACGAGAATGGTTGGGTAAAAGATTATTTTTATTGTTATCTCAGGGAAGTACCGAGATATCTCCTTCG